GAGAAGCTGGACAGACAGCTGGTATCTTAAAATGAGGTCATTCTCATTGTCTGAAAACAATAAAGGGAAAGGTCAGAAGGGAGAAACAGGGCTTCCAACCCAGATTAAAGCTTCCGTTAGTGCCTCTTAATGGTGGAACTGAATAACCTGTGCTGGCAAGCCAGGGGCGGGTGACAGCTGTGAACTCGAGTTTTGCAATCCAACAGCCCTGGGTGCAAATTCCAGCTCTTCCCACTAGTTGGCTGTGTGACCTAGAGGAGTTATTGAACTTCTCTGAACCTCATCTGTAAATATGAGAGTTGTTCATTAAACATGCTTTGAGCCCCCACTCTGTGTAAATAACGGTTTCCTATTATTTTTATGACTACTTAGTCATTCTCACTGTCCTTCCCAATACCTCTGTTAGGGACACTGTGGCAGGCTGCAAAAACGCCTGCAATCACTCTGCTCCATCTAGCCAGCCTAGTAGTGCTGTGGGGGTGGGGGTCGTGTTTCTGGACAGTGGGAGGAGCAGCAGGGCTCAGGTCACGCGCCATGGGCTTTCTGCTGTGAGCTTCCCTGGGGCACCGTGACCACTGCCCTGGACACCTTGGCCAGAGGCTTCGGGACTCCTTGAGTTGAACCATGGACCTGGGGCTGACGGGGAATCTCAGAGTTGTGCACCCTGGTGTTAAGGGGAATGGGCCCAGCAGGTGTAGCCTGTAGAATAGCTCCTTCCCAGAAGGGATGTGACCTGGGGGAGTTGGGGAGGATGTGGCAGGGCCTGGGCCCTGGAGCCCCTGCCGTGCCCTATGCCCGTAGAACAGGGCGGGCCATGGGAGGAGGCGCTGTGCTGAGTCCTTACCTCTGGCTGCCTGAACATGCCGGCAAGCTCAGGAACGTCTATTACTTAGGCTGGTCTTGGCGATATTGCTGCTCTGCTTTGGCAAAGTAGTTGGGCCCCTGCCAGACCAGAGGGTGGCAGGCCCTCCAACTTGGGGGTCCGGGAGATGGGCCGGCATCTGTGCCGCGATGATTTACCAAGTGGCCACCTTTGGGACCAGGCCTAGAAGGAAATCTTACTCACCATGGAGGGGTGGGGTGGGGAGGCAGACAGGCTGTGGCTGCCTGTCCCAGGGACCTCTTGGCTGGCTGGGTGGGAGCCGCTGCCAGGTGAACACCCCCAGGTGGAGAGCGGCTCCCCGCATTTGGTAGGGGCAGCCCACCAGGGCCCAGTCTCGGGACGTGATCTGGGAGGCTCTGCGGCTGAAGGTGCATTAAGCACCGGCCTCTGGTCTCAGCCAGGTTCCTGGGACCTGGTCTTGCCTTGCCCCTTGCCTAAATCTAGACAGAGAAGGGAAAGCAGAAGGCAGCCGTGAGCCAACCTCCCACAACCCATAGGGAAAGGCAATGTTAGCCCCTCTTCCCTGAGGCATAAAGTGAGGCTCGGATATGGGTGACGGTGTGCCCGGGGTGGGACTGTGTGTGTGTGTGTGGGGGGGGGTGGGGGCAGATAATAGGCCTCCACCCTGGGCCTCTTGTTCCCAGGCCATCATGGAGGAGCTGATGGTCTTGAAGCTGGTGGCCAACATCCTCTCCCTTTAGGGCATGTCTGCTGCTTCATGGGAGCAGGGATCCGGAACTGTGACCATGAGGGGAGCCCGCCCCACCCTGCCCCCACCCGGCCCCACCCTGCCCCCACAGTGCAGCCTCCCCCTGGCTGGCTTTGTCCTGCTGCACTTTAATGAGGCCTGTGGGGGTGGGGGTGGGGAGAGGGTCATTAGGTGTCATGGAGGAGTCTCAGGTGGGAGGGGCTGGGCAAGTCAAGGGCCTTGGCACCCAGCTGTGGTCCCAGAGAGGGTGAAGCACAGGGTCCACACAGCAGCTGGCCTGCAGGCTGGCGGGTTCAGGTTCACAGAGCTGTGGCTGCGGCCTGTGGTGGGCACTGCCAGCTCCGGAGGCTCCCTGTCGTTCAGGACACAGGGCCACTCTTCATCTTCCTACCTGGCAGGAAAGGGTGGGTGAGTGACTGGGTCCCAAACCCAGTGCCCTCACCCTGTCTGTCCTCCTCCCCCCGCTGGAGGCGCCGATGCGGTCACAGAGTGCCGGCTGTGTATTTGGGCTTTATGTGCACTGACCCACAGTGGCTCATGGCCACAGGAATTTATGATGTCCATTTCACAGAGGGGGAAACTAAGGCCCAGGCATGTTGAATATTTTGCCCTTGGGGCGGAGCTAGTTTGGCTTAGAGCTGGAATTAGAACCTAAGACTGGGAACTCCTGAGCCAGGCCTCTTGTCCCCAGCCAAGCTTGTCCAATAGTGCTTTGAAGCTTAGAAGTCACCCACCAGGGAGGGGGTGCCCTGTGGGCCAGTGATCCCAGCCTCCTCTCCGACCTTGGTTCTGGCAGGTTCTGTTGGCCACGCAGGGACTTCTGCACAGAAGCTTCTACCAGAATCTCTTCACCTATCTCAGCTGAACAAGTGTGAGTAGGGTTGCTCGGGGGAGGGCGGAGAGGGCCCGGCTCTAGGTGACTGTTGACAGCTGTTTCTGGGCGTCGTCAGGCTGCCGGGGCTGCTGGCTGCTCACAAACCTCTGCCTGGAGCGAGGGCTGGGGGAGGCCTGCAGCGAGGCAGGAGCACAGGCTGCAGACAGAGCTCTGCCAGAGCTCCTGAGAGGGCCCTGCTGGCACCTGCCCAGGGAAGGTTCACAGAGGAAGGAGGCACCCCCTGCCTCCGCACCCCTGCACTGTGGCCAGAGCAAAGCTGCCCTTCTTGCAGATGTCCCAGGCTGCTGCCTGGACCACGCGGGGACTCTGCTTGTGCTGCTGTTTCTCTGGAATGCTCTTCCTCTTCCATAGCCATGTGGCCACGTCTTAGAGCAGGGGTGGGGAACCTTTTTCCTGCCAAGGGGCACTTGGATATTTATAACGTCATTCTCAGGCCATCCAAAATGATCAACTTAAAAATACAGCCTGCCTCACCCCTAATGCCTTAGCAGCGCCAGACCGGGTGAATTCGAGGGCCTTATATGGCCCCCGGGCCTGACGTTCCCCACCCCTGGTTAGGATGTGAAGCTCAAATTCTTCTGACCCCCGACAGTCCTATGGGCCTCAAGGCTGTGTCATGTTCCCCTGCAGAGCCTCGCCCGCTGCTGAGGGATGGTGGGAGACCACGCAGTTCTGTGCAGGCCCGGCCCTGGATGCTGGCCAGGCGCCTCCACGGTGCTGACCTGCTGCCCATGTGCCATGGAGAGCGAGGCGGTGGTTTCTCCTGCAACAGGCCCGAATCGCTTAGGGGCCTTTTATTGACCAAGTGCCTTCTCTGCCCCTACACCCACACAATCTGGAGTTTTTAGGGATCAACAGGATGAACCATTTGTTACTCAGAATGAGCCAGAATCACTTCCTGGGAGTCTGGAGAGCGGTGGTGCCACCCACCGGCTGTTAGAAAAAAGGCTCCAGGAATATTTATAATCACGATGCAGAAAGGTCACCCACTGTCTCCTCTTCCCTCCCAGATTCTCCAGAAAATCCAGATGAACAGATAAGGACAGTGTCCCAGCAGGTTGCGGAGAGGTGAGCATCCATCGGTGCCCACCGTCTGGACCAGACGTCCTGAAGCTGAGGAACGTGGTTCCTGCTGCCGCCGGCCCCCAGGCCACAGCCCGCTGCTGGACAGTCCTCACATATTCCAGAGGCGTAGACGTGGGGTTATTCCCAGCTGAGTGAATCCCAGTTCTCACCTAAAGATCTCTCTCCTGGCCCAAGGAAGCCTCTTCCAGCCTTTGACCTGTGGGCACTGCTGCCTATGTCCCCAGGTTCTGAACGCAGACAGAGAGGATGGAATCCCGGGACCTGGGGTTTGAGGATGTGCTGCTAGTTTAGGAGACTTCACAGTGGACACTGGGGCTTGTGCCGCCGCCTCAGGCTGCGGGGACCTGCTTCGGGCATGAACAGCCGTGTCCACTAGATCACACATCCCCAAAGAAACAGCTTGAAAGCTGCGCACAACGTGTCATTCATCCAGACCAGGAGCAAAATGCACTTAAAACGTGGACTGGAAACAACCGGACCAAGAAGAATATAAAATAGTGCAGTATGCTCAGCCGGCGTGGCTCAGTGGTTAAGCACTGACCTATGATCCAGGAAGTCATGGTTTGGTTCCCATTCAGGGCACATGCCTGGGTTGTGGGCTCAATCCCCAGTAGGGGGCATGCTGGAGGCAGCCGATCAATGACTCTCTCTCATTATTGATGTTTTTTTTTAAAAAATATATTTTATTGATTTTTTACAGAGGAAGGGAGAGGGATAAAGAGTTTAGAAGCACCGATGAGAGAGAAACATCTTCTCAGCTGCTTCCTGCACAGCCCCCACTGGAGATGTGCCCACAACCAAGGTACATGCCCTTGACCGGAATCGAACCTGGGACCCTTCAGTCCGCAGGCCGACGTTCTATCCACTGAGCCAAACTGGTCAGGGTATCATTATTGATGTTTCTCTCTCTCTCTCCCGCTCCCTTCCTCTCTGAAATCAATAAAAAAAATATTTAAAAAATAGTGCAGTTTCTGTTTAATCTTCTAGTCACGATTTTACTCAGAAGCAGCCTTTAAAGCATGGCAGCATGACCCTGAGGGCCACCCCGTGGTGATGGCGTCCAGTCTCTCTGTCTTCACCCTGCGGGAAGAAGGGCCTGCAGGCTGAGGGCAGGTGCCCCATGCAGGCCACGGGGGTTAGGAGCCCCAGCTTTCATCCCCCCAGGTCGTGCTGGACGACCGCACTGCTTGGTATATGACAACATAGGCTTGTTCCCACGGGGCTTTGGACTGCCCTCTACTCTTGACGTGAGGGACAAAAGGTGTCTTTAGGTGGCGCTAACAGGCCTTGCATTTTCCAGGCGCCCTTCAGCTGGCGCCCAGCACACCAGCCGGTTCCAAGCTTTGCTCCGGCTCCAGGTGGTTGGGGGCTGCCCCTAGAAAAGCCTGTTGAAGATGGAGCCTTGCGGTGGGAGGAGGAAGCCGGGCTCACTCCTTTCCCTCCAAGTATAAGCTGCAATCGGCTGTGGTGAGAGAAAGAGGCAAAGAGAAGAGGGGGGTGCTCAGACCCGAGCTGGCGCAGGGGGTTGGCTTGAACATTCGGCCAGGGTTTCGGGAGCTAATCCTCAGAAGGTGACAGTTTATAAATATTGTGACTCTGGAAATAACTTTCCAGTGAAATTCGAGTTCTTCAGTTTGGCAAGGAGGCGCTTTGCACCAGATGAAGAGGCCGGGTCTTCTCACACAGTGTTGGGAAGGAGGCACGCGGAGCTGCTTTGCAGGGCACGCTTGGGAGGCGTGCAGACCCCACCCCCTTTGGGTGGCCCTCGGAGGGGCTTCATCTAGGCCTGTGGCATGGAAGCCCCTTGTCAGCAACAGGGTCTCTCTGTGTCCCGTTGAGGTTAAAAGGCTGGGTCACCAGTTCAAGTCTCCCCTTTTCACCTGCCATTTCTGAATGTTCCTTCTTTAATCCTCACCTGAGGATATGTTTTCATTGATTTATTTAGGATGAGAGAGAGACAGAGAGAGAGAGAGAGAGGGAGAGAGAGAGAGAGAGACATTGATGGGTTGCCTCATGTATGGTCAAACCCACAACCTGGGTATGTGGCCTGACCAGAAATCGAACCCACAACCTTTTGGTGCACGGGACGAAGCTCCAACCAACTGAGCCACCCAACCAGGGCTGAGTTTTGTGTGGTTTTCTTTTAATGTGTTGCAGGGAGGGAAGGCCCAGGCCCGTGTTTGTTTCATGCTTCCAGCAACATACACAGGGGGCCTGAGACGCCCAGGGCACCCGTGCAGGGAAGGCGGGAAGTGGAGCCCCCAGGGCACTGCCAGCAAGGCGAGCCCGGTGTTCCTGGCTGGACCACAGCATGGCAGCCGGGGCTGGTGGGAGTCCGGGGAGGAAGGAAACCCGTCCCGCTAATTCCATCCTGATTTCTGGGGAAGGGTTCTCCGGCAAACCTTGTTGCCAGGAAAACCACCTCTTTTTCTCTGAATAAGCATTCTGGCTCCGTTAACCAATACATTTGGGTTCTCTATCAACCCATCAATGACCGGGAGGTCTTTATAAACAGAGGGATGGAAGGAAGGCCAAGAGGACTCCGAGGGATGGATGTAGCCAGGCCCCAGGCTCCCCCAGAGGGAGACAGACGGCAGCGTCTGGAGCTGGAAGGGAGGTGGAAGGTCCCGGTGGAGCCCAGATCCTCTGCCCCCCGCTGGTATCGGGGCCTCCAGTGGCCGGTCATGGGGTGAGACAGTGTTGAAGCTCAGAAAGCCCTTAGATCAAGCTTCCAACGTCCCTTTATGCAGTTAAGGAACCCGGCCCAGAGCAATGCCGGGACCTCCCCAGACCACATGGCAAGTTCATGTTCCAGCTGGAACTAGAATCCAGGTCTGAGTTCCGGCCGGCACTCAGCCTGTGGCGCCAGACCCATTCTGGAGCCTGATTTCCTCTCTGGGGCATCGAGAGCAAAATGGAGACTGCTCTGCTGGGGTTTCCCAGTGGTTAGAGCACTGGCCCCACGGACTGAAGAGTCGTGGGTTTGATTCTCGGTCAAGGGCACAATCCCAGCCCCCGTTGGGGTGTGTGCAGGAGGCAACCAATTGATGTGAGTCTCACACATCGACGCCTCTCTCTCTCTCTCTCTCTCTCTCTCTCTCTCTCTCTCTCTCTCTCTCCATATCAAGGAAAAAGTATCCTCGGGTGAGCACTGACAACAAGACTGGATACTGCTGGAGACAGAAAGCCACACGGGCTCCTGCCTGCAGACGGGAGCTGGGCCTTGCCCACATCTCCACTGTTACCTGTGGCTGGGTTCAGGGTCCGAGAAGCGGGCGCCTTGAAGAAAGGCGGTGGCTTCCTGTACAGATCAAAGTCCCGAAGGCGCTGGTCCCAGCTCCACCTGTCTCGGTCCAGCACAGGCCTCATCACGTTAGCAAACAGTGCGTTTTCCCTCCACTCCTACGTCAGGAAAGGTGATTTAGGGGAAGGCCCCTGTGGATGCCCCCCGCCCCCCCAACACCCCGCTCCTCCCTGGGGACCTCGGTCAGCTCTGTGGTGGCGCCAATGGGCAGCAGGTCGAGGTGGTGGTCGCTCTCAGTGCTTTTATGAAGACCTATCACTCGGAACCCATTGGTTGTGAGCCAGGCCTGGCGGGACTTCTCCTTGGCTTTCTTCTCCTCTTCCTTTAAATTCCGAGTCTCCACCATGGCTGAGAGGAAGCGCTGTGAATACGCGTATCTTTTCCATGGCTCCTGGAAATGAGGGGCAAACGTGTGAATGGAAGTGGGGGTGGGGGCAGACTTGGATGGGGCTGACTCGGCCTCAGGTTTCCAAGCGGATGTCAGAAACTGCGGAGGGCACAGGGACAGTCCTTGACAGATGCCCTGAGCTGGGCAGCGGCCCTGGGAGTGTCCCATCTGTGTTCCCTTTGACACGAGTCGCCCTTGTCTAAATGCACTGTGTGCCGAAAGCCTAGCTCTAGACCGGTGGTTCTCAACCTGTGGGTCGCGACCCCTTTGGGGGTCGAACGACCCTTTCAGAGGGGTCACCTAAGACCTTCAGAAAACACATATATAATTACATATTGTCTTAGTGATTAATCACTATGCTTTAATTATGTTCAATTTGTAACAATGGAAATACATCCTGCGTATGAGATGTTTACATTACGATTCATAACAGTAGCAAAATTACAGTTATGAAGTAGCAATGAAAACAATTTTATGGCTGGGGGTCACCCCAACATGAGGAACTGTATTAAAGGGTCGCGGCATTAGGAAGGTTGAGAACCACTGCTTTAGACTTAGCCTTCAGGGTGACGGCTGCTTTTCCGGGGCAGCTGCTACCTTCTCCCGGAGGCGAGGGACCCGCAGTGGTTGGCAGCTGTGAACATCTGCCTTGAGGACCTCTTGGCTCACCCCTGCCCGTGGAGGGCTCACACGTAGCGTGGGAACAGAACACCTCTCCCAGCGCCTGGGCCCTTGCTTCCTCCCCTTGCTGGTTGGCTCTCACCCACACACCAGATCTCCTGCTGGGCTCCAGGCAGGGTGGGCAGAGAGGAGAGAGTTCATGGGGTCAGGCAAAGGCCGCTATCCTGCCTATAAGCACATGGCTGCTTCCCGTGCTCTGTGCTTCTCACTCACCTTGTCCATCTCACTGTACAGCTTCTTCTTGACCAGCTCTGTGGAGTTCAGGGTCTGAATGCTGTAGTTGTACACATCCTCTGTAGCAGGGATCGAGCCCCGAATCACCCTCACCACGGGCTTTGGGGACTTCCTGCTCATCTGGTAGGCTTCCCTGATGTTTTTCTGAAGACAAGAGACACCAGGCATTACCCGCTCAGGGCCCCTCAGCACCAGCCGCCTGCCTGGAGTAGGCCCCGGGGCATGGCTGCAGTGGAGGCATCCGTTCCCAAACATGGGAGCTGGCGGTTCATCACAGACCTTGCCCCAGGGCCATCCAGCCTGGCCCCTTACTGTCTACAGTGGAACTCGCTGGACCAGGCACGTGGCACTGGCCCAAGGTCACTGGCACTGGGACACATAGCACTTGGCAGAGTTTATGGCTCAGATGGTCAGGTGTGGGAGAGGCGGGAGGCTTGTGCGGTCTATACAGGGAGCCATGCACTGAAGCAGCAAGGACCGCCCTCCTTGACCGCGGCTGTGTGCATGGGGGGTATCAGCCTCTTCTCTCCACAGCCTCGGGATGGTCTGTTGGCTTCCTTTGTGAATAAAAACGGCAACTACCACAGGATTTCTCTCCTGTGTGGGATCTAATGAACAAACTGACCTAACAGGCAACGTGGAGACAGACTCACAGACAGAGAGCAGGCTGACCGCTGTCTGGAGAGAGTGGGTAAGGTTGGATGTGGAAAGGGGTGGGATTGAGCAAAAAGGAAAAAAAATAAAAAATAATAAAATGAAATAAGAATCCAGTTCATATTTATTTATAAAAACAGTTACGGAGATGTAAAGTACAGCCAATCATATTGCAATAACTGTGAATGGTGTCAGATGGGTACGGCACTTACCAGGGTGATCCCTTCATAAGGTATACAAATGTCTAATGACTTTGTTATACACCGGAAAGTAGCATAATATTGTTTATCAACTATAGCTGAAAAATAAAAACATCGAAAGAAAATAGCAACGAGGAAAGAGATAAAAGGCGAAACAGAAGGTTTCAGAGGAGAAAGGTGGCTGGGACCCAAAAAGACAACGAGGAAGAGTTTTACTCTGAATTGCTAAGTGCTGGGCAGCACAGCTTGTCCTTCACTTGCCTAGCAACCTTCAGCAAAAGAACTATCTTTTGCTTAAAAATTTTTTTTAACTCAAGAAGGTTAAAAAGAAAAAGTGGCCTTGACTCACTTGCTAGTTTGCACACTCCTAAGGGACTTGTTGTTTGAATAGAGATTGGTGTGGGGATGTGGTCGGTGGCTTCTTACACACAGACCACAGGTGAGGACTTCGAGTCCCACCTTGGATGCTGGTGTTTTTGTATTTTGGTTGGTGTGGGGTGAAGGCGGTTCTTGTTGGCCATTTAGGCCCCATAACAGCCAGCCTCCTGTTGCTGCACCAGCTTCTCAGTCTCCTCTCTCTCCCTTTTACATTTTCTCATGCTCATTTAGTTTATCTCCTGTGTTGCTTGGACCCTCAATAACATGCCCTTAGCAACTTAAGATCACACACACACACACACACACACACACACACACACACACACACAACAGTTCTTCCTTAAAGATGGGCTCTGGGGCCAAGGTAAAGAGCTTTCCTTGTCACCGTTCAGGAGGACGGGGTGTGCCAGGCTATGAGTGAGTGTCTCTGGGATGGGCCAGCCCTGCACCTGGCACCTCTTGCCCATCCCGCCTGGGATTCCAGGGCAGGAGAGTCAGTACAGGCCAGAGGCAGATGCCCCATTCGGGATGTGGCCACCTGCTCTATGTCTCCCAGCATGCGACCGGACAGCCCAGGTGGGGCCAAGGCCTGGCACCCCTGACTGCAGAGCGGAGAGGGTGCCCACCTGGATCAGATTGCGAGTCTCGTATCTTTTCTTCATCACCCTGTTCCGCCACTGCAGGTACTTCTCCTGGTGGGCGAGGATATCAGTGTTGAGGGTGAATTTCCGACTTTGCAGGTCATGCGTGGAGGTGGGTTGAGGTGGGGTGGCCAAAAGTTTCTCCTCGTCGGTGAGTTCTTCTAGGGAAATGGGCAAGCCAAACTCCTGGCTCAAGTGCTTGATCATGGTGGAGGAAGGCAGCAGGTCTTGGGTGATCACCTCCCTGAGCTTGGTGCTGTAATGGCAGATGCAGTAGATCCTGGAACACAGAAGGGCCACCCTCCTCTGGCTCACCTGCCTTGCGAGACAGGTCAAACCATCCCCACTTTACCAGAGGAAAGGACAGCTCGGAGAGGCTGCTTAGTGGGTGAACATGTGCTTATAGAAGGAAAGCGTCTGAGAGCCGCCCACTCCCACGTGCCCTTCCCTGTCACCTTAGTGGCAGGAAGGGGTTCTCTGTGTGTGGGGGGGCGCTGCAGGAGGTGAACCTGGGGGGGCCCCCACAGCCTGGGGGACACTGGCACCCCTTCTCTGCCGGGACAGCTCAGGCCCAGGCAGTGAGGAGCTGGGGATGATCACAGAAATGGGGCTCCATGGGAATGGGGTTCTGTCCGCTCCCTCCCCCCCCTTTCCCTCTGGAGCAACTTGGACCCAGAGGCGGGGCAGCTGGGAGGAGGGCCGGTGGGAGGGGCCCAGGCAGCAGGACCCTGAGCTCCTGGAGCAGTCACTCTTCCTGACTTCCTTCTTTGATGGCTGAGTAGATTCCAAGCGCACAGGCGAGGGGCAGCCAGGCCAGCTTCCTCCCGCTCCCCACACAGGCTGAGCGCATTGCGGCTCATGGTGACTTTCTGCTTCTCACAAGGACCGACCCCCCTCCATCCCCCCCCTTCCTTCCCTTGGACACCCTGCCTCCCGGGGAAGAGCTTCTGCTCAGCGTCCGGTGAGGGCCTGGCCCGGTGTCTCTTGTCACTGCAGCCTGGGCCCTTGGCAGTAGAGGCACCGCCACCTGCTTCCTTTGTGAGGCCCTGCTCACTCATGGCCTTTCACCTGGACCCGAGTGGCAGTGGGACTGCATCTGTGCCCTTTACTGGGTGAGCTGAGGCTGCCTGGTGCCCACAGCCCGGGGGCGGGGAGGGGGGTAGGGTGGGGGTGGGGGGGTGGGGCGGACTCCCTGCCATCACTCCCCATGCATGTGAGACCCTCCACCAGGCACTGCGTGTCCCCTTGGGGCCAGGCTGGTCACTGTGGGCCCCAGCCACTTGCCCCTGCTGGCCACCCACCACCTCTGCCACTGGTAGCCCTGCCTGCCAGCCTCCTGCGCTGAGCAGTAGAGCCCCTGAATGCCCAGGCCCCACTGAACGCAGCCCGCATCCTGTGCTCACACTGTGCTGCCTCCCTAGCATAGCGCCTGGCCTGGGCCCACAGCGCGCCCAGCACTCACTCTCCCAGCACCCACTCAGCACCCCACTGCCCTCTTCAGTGTCAATCTTCTCTTCTAAACGGGGCCTGTCCCTCTTAGCTCTCCTCCTCAGCAGGCACCATTCTATACGCAGTTGGAGGAGCTCTGCCCTGAAACCCAGTGGGAGGAGCGCACAGCTTCCAGGGTGGGGAGTGCCCACCATTCTAGGCCTGGGAGGTCACTAGCATTGGAGCAAAAGAAACAGCACAGGCCCTCGCCCTCAGTGGATAGAACATCAGCCTGCAGACTGAAGGGTCCAGGTCAAGGGCACATACCTCAGTTGCAGGCTCCCTGGCCCTGGTGGTGGTGGTGGGCATGCAGGAGGCAACCAATCGATGTGTCTCTCTCACATCGGTGTTTCTCTCTGTCTCTCCCTCTCCCTTCCACTCTCTTTAAAAATATCCTCGGGTGAAGATTAAAAAAACCAAAACAGCACAGGCAAAGGGATGCAAGTAGCAAAAGACCCAGATCTTTGGAGAATGGCTTTTGAGGAATAGGGAGAGAAGGGAGAAGCAGGCAGAAAAGCCAACATCTGGCTGAGAGCGCTGTTGCTGGCCTGGTGGGTCTGGCGCTTTCCCATCGCTTCCTGGGAAAATGGGTTTGAACCAGTTTCTTATTCCTCGGGCTATTCTGGGATGTTCTCCAAGCACCGCAGGTAGATTCATGTGACATGGGTTTGAATGAACTGTCTTCATCTCACCAACATGCCTCTCAAGCTCTCTTGGGAGAGCATGTGGAATAGTGGAAGCGACACAGGCTCGGGGGCCCCTCGGGACGGCATTCCACCCCTGGCCCAGCTTCTTTGGGTGTAAAGGAGAGTAAGTGCCCCTCAAAGGGTCGCTGCACTGCCCACTGCACTGCACAGGCAGGCTGGCAGCTCCCATCCCTGCAGCAGGCGGGGGTGGTACCTGGTCAGGGCCCGGAAGGCCTTCTGCATCACCCTGTCGCGGAGGTGGAGCGCCACGTGCTTCATGAGCTGAGACAGTGGCTTGCAGAGGTGCATGTGGTACAGGATGGTGTCCAGGTCTGCGTAGAGGCGCTGCTGAAACAGCAGCTGGGAGTTGTAGAGCACCTTGTGTTTCCCGCACTCTGCTTTGGTGATCCTGCAAGAGACGGCACAGGATGGGGTCTTAGCTCTTGTTGTTTTGTTCTGGCTGACGGAGGTTTTTTTGTTTTGTTTTCTGCTGGTTTAAAACCTTGAAGGGGAGGTTGGCAGTGAAAATGTTAAAATGCGGATACCAACCTCATGTTGCTGTGTCCCACTGCCCCTCCCACAACATCGACCCTGGCACTCATCTTTATACGCTGTCTATACCAGCCTGGCAATCTCTAAACGCAGCCTGCTATGCCACCCGCTGTGCTTGGCACACGTTGTCCCCACCCCTTGTTGAACCTGGTGAAGGCTCAAGTATCCTGCACATACTGCTGGTGTATCTGTGTGTTTTGTCATGGAGCTTCCTCTTTTATGAAATATGTGTTCAAGTATTTTGCCCATTTTTCCATTGGGATATTGTTATTGTTTTCTTATTGGTTCACAGGCATTTTATATGTTCAGCATACTAGCTCCACACATTGCAAATATATATATTTTTTCTCTGTGGCTTGTGTTTTCACAATTCCTTTGGTGTCTTTGCATGAACAGAAGTTATTAATTTTATTTTTTATATATCTTTATTGATTTCAGAGAGGAAGAGAGAGGGAAAGAGAGATAGAAACATCAATGATGAGAGAAAATCATTGATTGGCTGCCTCCTGCACATCCCCCACTGGGGATAAAGTCCACAACCCAGGCATGTGCCCTTGGCTGGAATCGAACCTGGGACCCTTCAGTCCGCAGGCTGATGCTTTATTCACTGAGCCAAACCAGCTAGGGCAAGAAGTTATTATTAATTTTAATGTAGCTAAATCTATCATTATTGTCCTTTATTCTTTGTACTTCTATCTTATTTTAGAAACCTCTCTTTATTCTGAGGTCATGAATATGTTCTCCTTTATTATCATCTAAAACCCTATACTACCGGTTTTCAAAAATAGATTTTTCTGGTGAACTGTAAGGCCAGGTATCTGTGGTCTAATTAATTATACTATGTCCACCAATAAGGTACTTTATGTCAGATGTCACCATTGCGAGAAACTGAATATTGGGTAAGTGGCACTTCTCTAATATTCTTAGGACTTATTATAAGCCTATAATTATTTCAAATAGGTTTTTAATCCACCTGGGATCTTTGTAAATTATGTGAACTAGAGAATTAGGAAACCATCAGTGAATTAGGAATAGAGTGGAAGTTCCCCAAATAGGTAAAGGACATCTGTGAAGCCCTACGCCTAGCATAATATATAACGGGGAAAGACCCCATGCCTTCCACCGAAGATCAGAAACAAGGCAGGATGTCACTACTTTGATATAAAATAATGCTGCAAGTCCTAGCCAGCACGCTAAGGAAGTAAAGACATATAGTTTAGAAAGGAGGAGACTGAACTATCCATATTTGCTGATGATATGATGGTCTATGTAGAAAATCCCAAGAAATCCCTACCAAAAACAAACCCTCCTCAAACCAATGAGTTTAGCAAGGCGGCAGGATCAACAAAGAAAAATCAATCATGTTTTATATACAAGCAATGAACACCTAGAAACTGAAATTAAAAATATCATACCACTTTAAATGACTAAAAAAGAAAGTACTTAGATATAAATCTACCAAAACATATGCTGAACATGCATGTTTAAAACTATAAAACGCTGCCCAGCTGGCATGGCTCAGTGGTTGAGTGTTGACCTATGAACCAGGAGGTCATGGTTCGATTCCCGGTCAGGACACATGCCTGGATTGCGGGCTCGATCCTCAGTGTGGGGCGTGCAGGAGGCAGCCAATCAATGATTTTCTCTCATCATTGATGTTTCTATCTCTCTCTCTCTCCCCCCTTTCCTCTCTGAAATCAATAAAAAAATATAAAAAAAAGAAAACTATAAAACTCCGTTGAAAGAAATTAAAGATCTAAGTAAATGGAGAAGCATACCATATTCATGGATTGGAAGGCTCAACAGCAGTCATGTCAGTTCTTCCCCAAATGATACGTAGGTTTAGCAATTCCTATCAACATTCTAGTGAGACGTTTTATAGATATAGACAGCTTTTTGTAAAATTTAAATGAAAAGGCAAAGAAACTAGAATAGCTGAAACAATTTTGAAAAAAAGAATAAAGGGGAAGGAATCACTTTACTTGACTGATTATAGCCACAATAATCAAACTGTGTGCTATTGGTGAAGAGATAAATAGATCAATGGAACAGAATAGAGAACTCAGAAATGCATCCATACATTTATGACCTACTGATTTTTGATAAAAATGCAAAAGTATTTCTATAAAGGAAATAGTATTTTCAACAAATGGTGCTTTAGTCAATGGATATGAATTGGCAACAAACAAATACCACCCCCTGCCCCAAACTAAAACAGAGCAAACAAAAACTCAACCTAGATTCCTGCTCAAGATGTGATGTAGGAAGACCCTGAGCCCACCTCCTCCCACACACACAACAGCTCTGTAGCTACATATGAGACAGTTTTCTCTGAAAAAAAAACCCACAAAAACACAAACAAACAAAGAAAACAAACAAACAAAAAAGCCCCTCTTTCACATAGGGCAAACAAGAAAAAGCCACACAGGAGCAGGTAAAAAGGAGGACACAATGTCACCATAATCCTCACCCTGGCACAATGACCCGCAGTCAGAAGGAAACTCAAAACGGAAACTTTGCATGAGCAGCGAAGGGTTCCTTTTCCACATGGGACATCCCAGCTTTTCAGACGAGCACCTAAGAGATGAGCCCTCAAAACATCTAGCTTTGAAAACGATGGAGCTCATTCCCACAAGATCTGTGGGGCTGCAGCAAACGGAGAAATGATTCTGAAAGGGCTGGTGCCAGACTCAGTTGACCAGGGCCCAGCACAGAAGCAGCTCTTTGCAAAGTGCCCAGATTTTATGTGAAAGAGACTCATTTGCTAATTGTAACGCAGGGATGCTTTCTGGAGGCAGAGGCTGATAGGTACCAACTTCCTGCTCTTCCTCTGCCTTGTTAAAACTGGCAGGTACCATCTCACCCCTCCCCTCCTCATTTTTTCTTTTTCTTCTTTTTTTCTCTCTTTGTTGGGTGCCCTCCCCTTGTCCTACCCTGCCCCACCCTTGTTTCAGCCAGTGGGGTTTAATGAACAAACTGAACTACCAAGCAAAATAGAGATAAACTTATAGATAGAGAGCAGGCAGACACTTGGGGGGTGGGGGTGGGTTGGGGAGGGGTGGAGGGGTTGAATAAAAAGAGAGAGAACTGATGGACATGAACAACAGTGTGGTGATGGGGGTAGAGGGGAAAGGGTGGAGGTGGAAGAGGGCAATAGATGGGATAAAAGGTGATGGAAAAATAAAAATAAAAATGGTAAAAAAATGTTAGTATTATTAAATTGGAATTCCATTGATTTGATAGACCTATTTGGAGATAATAAACACCTTTACAATATTGAATATTCCAAACAATAAACATGGTAACTCCCTTCACTTATTTTGGTTTTCTTAAATGTTTCTAAAAGTCCTATAGTATTTACGACAGAGGTCTTTTGCTCCCTTTTGTCAAATTTATGCCTATCAATGTCATATTTTATGATACCTTTAAATTGCTTCCTCTTTGAAAATTATTTTTTGTAGGTAGGTGGTATTTAGAAATTCAACATTAATTTTTATACTGAGACACCTCATGAAACTATCTAATCTGAAAATATTTTCGGTATTATTTTTTGGTAAATTTCTAATGAAATTTTAAACTGATTGACATAGTTTAAAACACTTATTTCAATGTCTGTAACATCTCAGACATTTCCAGTAAATGTCTCAGTAATTTTCAGCCTTTATTTTTCTCAACCATAAGCATTTAAGAGTAAAGTTTTTTCTAAATAATGCTTTAATGTCATCCCACAAATTTAGATATTTTACTATTTTAATTATTGTTGAATTCAAAAATGTCTAGTTTCCATTACAGTTTCTCTTTTGACCCATGGGTTATTTGGAAATAATTGTTAATTTTTAAGCATTTGACTTTTTTTGGGTTAATAATTTTTTTAATTTCTAGCTTAATTGAACTGGGATCAGTGGACATACTCTATGTTATTTCTGCCCCTGGGAAAAATATTTCCATTGAGACATAATCCACATACCACATGACCTGAATTAGACAAACTGCAAAGCTTGAAGGCACAGACCCCCAAACTGCCCTGACTTCTGATAACCACGGAAAGTTCCAGGAGTTCCTAAAAGCACACCTAGGTTTGTCAATTTGTTAGAAGCATTTACAGAAAGCTGCTTTGCTCACAGAGCTTATTACAGGGAAAAGGTACATGCTCAAATGAGCCAAAGGAAGAGGTACCTAGATCAGGGTCCAGGATGGTTCCAAACACAAAGCTCCCCTTGGCCTTGCCTCATGGGTCAGGGTGTGCGGCCTTCATGACATTGGAGAGTGACCATACGCCCAGTCACTCCCCCATGCCTTGGTGTCCACAGGCCATGTCTACAGAGGCACGACTGCTTAATTGCTTGATGGCCCATGTGGCAATCTCAGTCTCCAGGTCAGTTCACACAGCTCCAACCTAAATCACATTGCTGGTCTTTTGGCACAGCCAGTCGTCACTATGATTGTCAGATGAGGCTGCTCCCACCTTCAGATTTGGTGTGGTCAGCTCCCAACCTAAACAAAGACCCTCCCATGAGGTATAACATAGATTACCTTCCAGGAGACAAGGGCAAAGGCCTGACCTCTCTTGGGCAAGGCCAAATTCTTTGCTACACATCATAAGTGGCACCCTTTTAAAGTACTGCATACAGTTCAGTGGTTTTTAGTATATTCACAATGTTGTGCAACCATGAACACTGTCTAACTCTAGGATATCTTCATCACCAAAAAAGAAACTATACTGTTAGCATCACTCCACACTTTTCCTCCGTGCCTCCCCTGAGATCTTGGCCACCACTCATCTACTTCTATCTCTAAGGATTTGACTATTCCAGACGTTTCATATAAATGGGGTCATAGAATATGTGGCCTTTTATGTCTTGCTTCCTTTACTTAGTGAAGCATGTGTGTCAATGCTTCATTCCTCTTTTATGGATGAATATTATTCCATTGTATGGATATATCACATTTTGTTCATTGGTCGATGAACAAATGGGTTGTTTTTGATTATGATAAATAATGCTGCTAAGAACATTCATGTGTATGTTTTTGTGTGGGAACCTGTTTTCAGTTCTCTTGGGAAGATAACCAGCCATAAGGCCAGTTTCTTCCAGTCTTTCTTGGCCCATAAGCTCAAAACAGGCCCCCACAGGGCCACACTCCCCTGCTGCATGGATAGACTCAACTTGAAGACTTTCTGCTGTTATCAACATCTGGGTCCTGGGATATCTGAGCTCTGAGGACAAATATGGGACTCGCATATTAAAGGAGGGAGGTCCTATTTACCCAAACTGGGATGCATGGAAGTCATGAAAGAAAAAGAGAATTCTCATGTCATCAAAACTAAAGAATGGAAGGACCATGAGGGCTATCTGCTCCAGCCCAGAATCAGACACTTCAGTTGCCTGTACAATGTCCCCATCACATGCTTTTGGAAGGCCTTCAGGGAAGAAGAATTTTCTGTAGCTTTGACAGCTCCTCTAGATCCAAAATATCACATATATCCTACCTCGGGGAGTTGAAATCTATTTCTTTGTGATGTCTACCTTAATGTCATAAAGCACAATTTCTTTTTCCTTTCAATTCACATGGACCAGGGCCACACACAACATTCTGCTCCCCGTTAACCAAGCAGGCCCCCCAGGAGTCTGAAGCCAGACCCCTTTTCCTGAACCACCTTTTCTTCTATGTATCCTGAAAGTATTCCCTTCAACTAAAGGCAATCAATCAGTTCCTCTTGTTATAAAACCCAACTCCTGAGCCCTGAGGAGCACCCTATAATAAACCCCAAGAAGAAAGGAGCGAACGTATCCCTCTCAGAGAGGACAGAGAACCTCAGGTTGGCTTGGAGAGATCTCTCCCCTCACTCAGCATCCAGATGCCACCTACCGGCTTTGGTGGCTCTCCCACAGCCGCTTCAAGCCTTGGTCAGCCAAGCCCTCCAAGATGAGGAGGTGGATCTTCCCATCCAGCAGGTGGAAGCCGGTGAGCACATCCAGGTCCGGCCTTTCCTGGACCTTCACCCGAATCTTAAAGGCGGACAGGATCTGCTGGAGGATCGTGATAGGGTAGGAGTCCAGGTCGAGGGCTTTGGCATTGATCATGGTGATGTCCTGCAGCAGGCTATACAGGAGGGAGATCTTCTTGCTGTCAAATACGAAAACGATGCGGCCAAACTGGGTGCCCATGAAGTCTGAATCAGGGGCTTCTGTCATGGTCCGCAGTGGCACCGTGACATCCACTCGCAGCTTGAGCAGGGAGTTGGCGTCTATGTAGTTGCCCATTGGCATTGGGCCGTGATGGGAATCTTTAGGGGCCCTAAATCCCACAACCTTCCTGCTCCTGCCGTCCTCGTCATGGTGTGGGGGCTTGGACTTACAGTTGTGGATGGGGATAGCCAAGTTCAAGTACTTGTGGCCGAGGAGGAGGTCAGCAAAACTTACTAGTGCGACTCCATATGGGTCCCACATCTTGTTTTGGGATTCAAAGGGGTTGTTCTTTGTCTCTTCGGGAGAGATGAAGGCCTGAAAGTTGATGTATGAATCCATAGGGTCCTCCCCAAACAGGGTGGGCTTCCGGGAATACTCCTCTGACTTTCGGTCTCGATCATGAACTTCTACCACCATTGGGGGGCCCTCCAGGTATTCCCTCAGGTCATTGGAGCTCATTGCCCCAAGAAAGATGACATTGACGTCCTGGAAGGAGACGTGGTTTCCATGGGGCCGCCCCTCGGTCTGGTGAACGGGAGTCTTATGAAACTGGTACTTGCAGTACACGGGGGTGCAGAGCCTCTGTGAGAAAGTCGGGGGACATCACGTCATCTTTCCTTTAAAGGAAGCCTCCCAGTTGCAGGGGCTTAGATCCCAGTGCCACACTCGCCTCCCACAGCCCCCGAGGCTGGGTCTCCTCATCCACAGAACACCCATGAGAGAGCCTGCTCTGCAAGGCCATCCCCAGGACCGAGTGACATACGTGATAGCGCCAAGCTGGCGGGCACAGGAAAGGCTCAACAGCTGGCTCACTACTTCTTCCTCCCAAATTGTGAATGCTATGAAGACAGGCCATGCACCTTTTCACGTCTACATTTCTAGGTCTTAGGTCCAGGTCAGGCAAAAAAAAAAAAAAAAAAAAGGTGGACACAAGTGACGCAGACATACATCTGGGGAGTTGGCACAGGCTCATCTTTACCATATTAAGCATCCACATGGGAAGCTGCGACAAGGGGGAGAAAGATGCAGAGAGGTTTGGGGCTTATGAGGGGTTGGAAAACGAAATGGAAAAGAGGGAAGAGCTGTGTTGAGGCAGGGAATAGGGAGCCTTGGCATATGTTCGCTGTGGTGCTAGGATCCTATATAATAGAAGCCTAATATGTTAAGTGTCTGGTTGACCAGTCGGCCATTCAACCAATCAAAGGGTAATATGCTAATGATATGCTAAGGCAGCTCAACTGTTTGCTATGACATGCACTGACCACCAGGGAGCAGACACTCCAACCAGTAGGTTAGCTTGCTGCTGGGGTCCGGCAGGTGGGGACTGAATGAGGAGGGCCAGACACACCTTAGAGCCCTCCCCCATCCCTGCCTGGATAGCCAACCTTCCATGTCCCTCCCGGGCCCTGATTGTGCACCGGTGGGGTCCCATAACCTTGCCTATGCACTCTTGCAATCAAGGACCCCTCAAGGGATGCAGGAGAGCCTATTTTGGACCATTCCCACAGGCCAGGCCAAGGGACCCCACTGGTGCATGAATTTGTGCACCAGGCCTCTAGTTTTCTAATAAAAAACTGTTAAAAAAGTCATTTTCATATTTAAAGTATCCTATTTATTTTACACTGATGCTGAAATTTGTTTTAAAACAGTGCTGGGGTTGGTAGTGCTCCCAGGTACCTAGAAGAAGGACTTAAGAAACCTTTCTGCAGAAACCCACTTTCAACCTAGGCCTCAAATAATTCCCACAGAGAAAAGTCCACTGAACCTGAGATCATAGCAAAAAATCACAAAACACCTAAGGGGAAAATGGTCCTATGAGCCAAACCAGGTGCACAAAGGCATAAGGTATAATAATAATCAGATATATAAAACACACATTACATTAAAAAATTTTAAAAAATAATCATGGTCAAATCTATCAGAGTTCTATTTACTAGCTATGAATAGTTTTAACATGAAACAATTTAAACATCACCTACAATAGCATATGTCTTTAAAAAATGCTTAAGAATAAAATGGAAGATGTATAAAACTTATGTACTGAAAACTATAAAACATTGCAGACAGAAATTAAAGATAGTCTACATAGTGAAATATACCATTTTCATGGTCAGGAAAATGGAGTTAATTCTAGATGAATCACAGACCTAAACATAAAAGCTAAAATTATATATCTTTTAGAAGAAAACTTAAGAGAGAACCTTCATGAACTTAAGGTGGGAAAAGGTTTATTTGAGAGGACACAAAAAAACACTAGTTGTAACAGGAAAAGTTGATAAAATGGACTTTATCAAAGACACTATTAAGAAAATTAAAGTCAGGCCTCAGACTGACAGAAAATGTCATATATATATATATATATATATATATATATATATATACACACACACACACACGTATCTATATATCTATATATCTACGTAAATATATAGATATATATATATAAAATCTGGCAAAGGACTTGTATACAGACAATAAAAAAGGACATCTAGAAAATAATAAAAACAAAAAAATTACTGTGCAGAAGCTTATATAACTGAAACTGATAGACACAAAAAAACCCAGTATGATGGTTACTAGAGGGAAGGGTGGTGGGGAGGTAGTAAAGGGTAAAGGGCGTCAACTATATGTTGGTAAAAGATGACTTGACTTTGGGTGGTGGGCATACATGCAATATACAGATCATGTATCATAGAGATGTACACCTGAAACCTATGTAACCTTATTAACTAATGTCACCCTAATAAATTTAAATAAAAAAGGTGGGCAAGGGGGAAAGAGGGGGACACCTGCAATAATGTCAATATTAAAAATATTTGCCCTGGCTGGTTTGTCTCAGTGGATAGAGTGTCGGCCTGCGAACTGAATAGTCCCAGGTTCAATTCTGGTTAAGGGCACATGCCTGGGTTGCGGGCTCATCTCCAGTGGGGGGCGTGCAGGAGGCAGCCAATCAATGATTCTCTCTCATCGTTAATGTTTCTCTCTCTCTCTCTCCCTCTCCTTTCTTGTATGAAATCAATAAAAATAACTTTAAAAAATTTTAACAACCAAAAATGAAAAATTAAAAATAGTAAAAGGAATTTTTAAGTCTGTTTAAGTGGAGTAGAAGCACACCCCACCTTGCATTCTCCCAGTGAATGCACCTAAAAACCCTAGACAGAATACATGAAGCAGCTTATTAGAGGACTCTGAAAAGTAAAAGGAAATGGGCAGACTAGTGAAGGAGACTGAACTCATTGAGTTTCCTGGGTTTTATTTTCCTCCAGTATGTTCCTGACTGGGCTCAGAGAAGCCTGAATCCCAGAATTGTGTACCAGGCATGGACAGGGAGCTCTAAGAGAAGCCCCCTATTTCTGGTCCAAGAAATGGGTGTGAGGATCCCTATAGGACAGAGTGAGGGGAAATCCCCTGGTGATTTTCTTTCCTGGAGTCTTTTGATCACTTTGTAAACTATGTAAATGTCTAATCACCCTTTCGTACATCTAAAACTAATATAATATTGTATGTCAAAACTGTAATTGAAAAATACATTTAAAAAGTAAAAAACTGGAGAATTAGTGAATTAAAATATGTAGCTGAATGGATTACCCATGTTTACACAAAAAGACAAAGATATCCTATATAATAAAAGGCTAATATGCAAATCAACTGAATGGCAGAATGACCTGTTGCTATGACATGCACTGACCACCATAGGGCAGATGCTCAATGCAGGAGCTGCCCCCTGGTGGTCAATGTGCTCCCTTAGGGGGAGCACTGCTCAGCCAGAAGCCTGGCTCAAGGCTGGCGAATGCAGCAGTGATGGCAGTCAGACATCCCCAAGTCTCCTGGACTACGAGATGGCATAGGCCGGGCTGAGGCCGTCCCCCCCTCCCTGCCCCAGTGCATGAATTTTGTGCACCAGGCCTCTACTAACAAATATAAAGGAATGAATAAGAGGAAATGGAGGAGAATGGGATTAGATCTAACATATAGCTAACTGGTGTTTCAGAACACCATGGCAGATACAACAGCAGGAAGGTGAAAACAGAGAAGATCAGGATGGAGAATTTAAGAACACATCAAAGACATGAATCCTTAGGCTGAAGAAGCACAAGCGTATCTCCCATCATTGAACCTTTTCTCAAGAAGATATAAGAGGATGAGCTCCAGCATAACCAGGGAGCAAACAAAGCAAGAGGAAGACAGAGAATCCAGGGACAGGGTGCCCACCGAGAGAGGGGAAAGGGAGCTTCCAAGACAAGCAGCAGTGCTAAACCTGGCTGGTTCAAAACAAGCTGCTGTAACAAGGAAGTGTAGGGCTCCTTCCAAAGGCAGGATCACTGCTCCCATTTGAAGAACACCCATGGGAGACCTCAAGACTTGGTAGCGCCCAACCCCAGAAACCCAATCTCTTTCATGTCTCACTGTGAGATCCTCAGTGGTGAAGTGGGGATGATTATCCATCGCCTGGAGGGCCATGATGGGGATAAACCGTGACAGGTCATGGGGCAGTGGCTAGGGAAAGAGCTCTCCAATCAGTCCATCTGGCTCATTCTTACCTCTAGTTCATCGATGGGCACAGGTTGTGATGGAAGGCAGGAAATACCTTTGATCTTTATGATCAGGGGGTTTAAGTCCTGCTTTTGCTCCTCTGTCATGATGGGAACTTCTGTTTTTAAAGTCAAAAAACAATCTAAAATGTTGGCAGACGTTTTACTGCCACGACTCACGACAGTTTGCCATCCTAGTGGGGCAGGGGTAGGGGGTGGGGGAAGACACACACAGCATTAGACTGTTACTCAGGATATTCCAAAGACAAGCACAGAAGGATGAGGCAAGCTAAGAAGAGTCAACAATGAAAAAAAAGAAATCTTAAAAAAATAAACAAATTGGGAAACATATGCAGACAGCATGTCACACACCAGCTCCTCAAACTGAGTTTCCATAAGTTCTCTCAGAGAATCTAATTTTCTAAATTTAATCTTGATGGTCATCTAGTAATACAAGCAGGTCCTGAATCCCCTCTAGGCTACAAGAAGGAATACAGATAGATACCAGGTGCCACCCGTGACAGTTTGATGTAGTTGGCCTTCACATTGGGATTTTAAAAAGCCCCCCAGGGCATTCAGAACCACCATCCTAGGCTTGTGCTGTCTAGTACAGTAGTTACTGGCTGTATACGGCTCCTTAAATTTCAATTAACTAAAATTATTTTTTTGTTTGTTTTTTACATTAATTTAAAAGGCAGTTCCTTCTTCATGAGTCTCATTTCAGATGCTTAGGAGCCATGTGTGGCTATGAGCCACAGGATTGGACAATGCAGATATCAGACACCCATCACTGTAGAAAGCTCTGTTGGAAAGCTTTCACGCTAATGTCTATTTTGGGGTCCATTGGTGTCACTTTAACTGCCGTGGTCCAATGAGAAAGCATAGATATTGATGCACAACATAACGGATAGATTTGAGCCAAGTCAAGCGTGGCACAGCTCCCACTGTGTTGGTGTTGCAGTAGTACAGCTAGAAAAAAGGGCAGGTGCATCGAGCCATGCATGGCACACAGAGAGCTGTGAGAGTGCTTGTCTCATAAAAGGTGTCCTTTCACTTCACCAGGTGGGGAGATACTGGTGTAGGGAAAAGGTGGCTAAAGCTGCACCTTTGCAAGCAGAGAGGCTAGGTTTAAATCCCACATCTGACTCTTGGTAGTCACATGACCCACAACAGGTCAGAGGCTCTTGGAGGCTCAGTTTACTCCTGTGCCAAATGGGCACAGATACCACCTTTCTTAGTGCTCTGCACGTGAAGGTGCCAGGAACACTGCCAAGCACATAGTACATGGTTAAAAAAATCAGTCCTATTCCTTTCAAATGCTTGTAGTTATATTTCTAGGGCACATAAACCCCAGTCACTCGTGCTCAGAAAGCGTAGGCACTTCCAAAACAGGCCATGGCCCATGTGGCAGCTGTCTGCCGAGGCAGTGAGCGTCTCCTGGGGGCGACCCTCCCCATTCCCACGTGATTCTCTTCAATAAAGCCAACTCATTCAGGCCACGACTAATTATGATTTGTGTTCTTGCAGTTTGGAAACCCTTTCCAGGAAAAGATTACCCCAGTTTAGAAAAAAATCTCCAAAACATACATGGAGTGAAATCATCACTCAGACATTTGGGGAGGTGTCAGCCAGAACTGCAGGGTAGGGATCCCCAACCTCAGTCCTACGGACATTGAGGACAGATCATTCTTTCTAGTGAGGACAGTTAACAGGATCCTACTAGATGCCAAAAGCATCTGGCTCCCGTTTGTGACAATCAAAAATGCCCCCACACAATGCCAAACCTCCCCTGGGGGGCGCCAGTGCCCGCCTTGAGCACCGCTGTTCCAGGATAAGGGGGAAGGGGCAGGGGAATGGACTGTGTGTGGTTTGTGCACCTACACCTGCTAGACTGGAACATGTGTTAATGCCACCTAATCCTAAGCAATGCTGTGTGGTTGCTATCAGGTCGCCTTGACAGATGGGGAACTGAGGCCCAGAGATGTTAAGTCATTGTCCAAGGTCTCTTGGCTAGTAAGTGTTGGAACCAGTGTACAAACCAGTCCTGCTTGGCTAAGATTGGCCCCTCCAAGATGCAATGAAAATAAGAGTTTATTTCAAACTCAGAGTCTTTCTAGAATATTTCTGGGTTGCTAGCTAGCCAACATTTACCACTAAAGTCTGCAAACTCTTGGGCTATTCTGCAACTGAAGATGATTACTACAAATAGTCACGCTGGTTTTGGAGTAGATCTTACGCTACTCTAGCAAACACAAGCACACGATCGGCCTGCCGAGCCAGGACCATTCTCAGTTTATCGCCATCAACCATGACATCAGTGGGAGGGAGGAGGTTACCTCTCTGTTTCCTTTGCCGGAGCCCCACCCAGTGTCCTGACAGAAGCATCTGCCACCTCCACGCCAGCAGCCTCTGTGTGTCCTGCTGTGAGCATGGACTTTTAGCCACATTGGACAAACACCAGGAACTGTCGGGGAATGGGCGGGGGGAGGAGGGTGGGTACCTGCAAGGAGCGGCATTATTGCCAGCTGGACAGAGAAGGCGCCCTCTCTCCAGTAGTCTGGCAGCTTGGCGTCAGTATCCTCTTCTCGGTATTTCTTCGATCTTTGCCGTCTTCTCCTTACCTTTTCTGACTCTTTCCATTTAACTGTGAAATCGCAGGAGGGAATAAGCATTAAGAGGAGCTCACATTTAAGCTGCTACATGCAAATACCATCAATTCTCTCAGAGGTTCGGGAAAGTTCTGGAAGCTTCTGGAAGGCAGAGGTTGTTCTTTGTGCTGCCGCACCTTCCAAGCAACCAGATGAGGTGTCTAAATGTGGGTAAGCTGACCACTTGCCAGTCACATGCAGGGAGAATTGACGGGGGTTCTGGCTCTCCACCTGCTGCTACCTGAGGACATGGGAGGAGGGACCAAAGTTACCATGAGCTATTGGCTCCATTGTGTAGAGGCCAATGGAACTGACGGAAAGCCCAGAGCTAGATCCACACACATAAGGGACTTAGTAGATGCCAGAGGTGGCATTTCCAATCAGTGGGGAGGAATGGACTAGTCAATTAATTATATTGACGATCTATTTGCAGGCAAAGGAAACTATCCGACAAGTCATGCCATATGCAGAATGAACTGCAGGCTAAAGGTGGGAAACAAAATCTTCGAAATCATGAAAAGATACATGGGAGACTATACTGACCTCCTGAGGAGGAAAGATTTCTTAAACATTACTCAGTCTGTGATATTCTCATGTATGTCACGGACAATGCATAATTATCCAGAAGATGTAAAATATAAAGCTTGTTAATCCCTTAGAAAAATTGAAATCCAACAGAAAAATAAGCAGAGATAGCTGGCTGGTGTGGCTCAATATTTGAGCATTGACCCATGAACCAGGAGGTCATTGTTCAATTCCCTGTCAGCCACATGCCCAGGTTGTGGGCTCGATCCCCAGTACGGGGCGTGCAGGAGGCAGCTGATCGATGATTCTTTTATCATTGATATTTCTATTGCTCTCTCCCTCTCCCTTTCTCTCTCTGAAATCAATAAAAACATATTTTAAAAAAATAAGCAAAGATATAAGGATAGCCAGATCATATAAGAGTGTGATCAAATAAGCATATGAGATGCTCTCAAACCCACTAGCAATCAGTGACTAAGCCCCCAATTGTGTCAAGCATGGGTGATGACGTGGAGAAAGAGGAATTCTCAGGACTGCTGTCAGGAGGGCAAATAGGTACAACCCAGTGGGTGAACTGGCAACATCTTGAGGAGTAAGGAGTTTCATGCTGGGGGTGTTTCCTTGCATCTAGAAGGGTTCAGGAATCTGGAGAAGGGGCTGCGAGTAAATTAATAAAGAGACTAGACATGAAATATAAATTTGGAAGGCATTTTGGGGAGCCAGAGGAGACCCTAGCCTCAGTAACCAAGTTCTCCAAGTCTCTGGACCCCTAGCTTTTTATTAACACAAATTGCCCTAAAGCAAAGCAGATATACATATCAAAGGTAAGGTTTGGTAGACAGTAGGCATTGTCAGGTTAGGGGAACTGCCTTCGGCTGTTCTAGTAGCAGGCAATAATATATGCAGATTTTTAGGTTTGGGGAAATGCTTTCAGCTATTCCAGCAGGCAATAATATGCATCTCCAACCATGCTGAAGCCTCAAGGTCCACCAACTTTTAGATGAACTTCCTGCATTTATGACCTGCTGGAATTAGCTTCCAGCAGTTTCATACCCCTGGAAACCGTGCTGGGAAATTCCCTACACCAGCGATTTTCAACCTTTTTTATCTCATGGCACACATAAACTAATAACTAAAATTCTGCAGCACACCAAAAAATATATTCTATATTTTGCTAATCTGACCAAAATATAGGTCTAATTTTGATTCATTCACATTGAATGGCTATTGTTGTGTTGGCTGTTGTCATCTTTTCATTTGATAATCTAAGGCAATGGTTCTCAACCTTCCTCATGCCGCGACCCTTTAATACAGTTCCTCATGTTGTGGTGACCCCCAACCATAAAATTATTATTTATTTATTTATTTATTTATGATTAAATCTTTACTGTTCAGATTATTACAGTTGTTCCTCTTCCCCCCCCCCCCATAGCTCCCCTCCACCGGGTTCCCACCCCACCTTCTGCCCTCACCCCCCGCCCCCCCAGTGTCCTCATCCATAGGTGCATGATTTTTGTCCTGTCTCTTCCCACATCCCCCACACCCCTTTCCCCCCGAAAAATAGTCAGTCGACTCCCTTTCTATGCCCCTGATTCTATTATAATCACCAGTTTATTCTGTTCATCAGATTATTTATTCACTTGATTTTTAGATTCACTTGTTGATAGATGTGTATTTGTTGTTCATAATTTGTATCTTTACCTTTTTCTTCTTCTTCCTCTTCTTAAAGGATACCTTTCAGCATTTCATAAAATACTGGTTTGGTGGTGATGAACTCCTTTAGCTTTTCCTTATCTGTGAAGCTCTTTATCTGACCTTCAATTCTGAATGATAGCTTTGCTGGATAAAGTAATCTTGGTTGTAGGTTCTTGGCATTCATCACTTTGAATATTTCTTGCCACTCCCTTCTGGCCTGCAAAGTTTCTGTTGAGAAATCAGCTGACAGTCGTATGGGTACTCCCTTGTAGGTAACTGCCTTTCTTTCTCTTGCTGCTTTTAAGATTCTCTCTTTGTCTTTTGCTCTTGGCATTTTAATGATGATGTGTCTTGGTGTGGTCCTCTTTGGATTCCTTTTGTTTGGGGTTCTCTGCGCTTTCTGGACTTATAAGTCTATTTCTTTCACCAGGTGGGGGAAGTTTTCTGCCATTATTTCTTCAAATAGGTTTTCAATATCTTGGTCTCTCTCTTCTTCTGGCACCCCTATAATTCAGATGTTGTTACGCTTGAAGCTGTCCCAGAGGCTCCTTACACTATCTTTGTATTTTTGGATTCTTTTTTCATTTTGCTTTTCCAGTTGGGTGTTTTTTGCTTCTTCGTATTTCAAATCGTTAACTTGATTCTTGTGATCCTCTAGTCTGCTGTTGGGATTATGTATAATATTCTTTATTTCAGTCAGTGTATGCTTAATTTCTAGTTGGTCCTTTATCACAACCTCAAGGGTCTCATTAGATTTCTTGTAGATCTCATTAAGTTTATCGGCAGTTTCTAGAAAATTCTTGAAAAACCTTAAAAGTGTGGTTTTGAACTCTATATCCAGCAGTTTGCTTTCCTCCATTTCTGTCATTTGTGTCCTTTTTCTTTGTCTCGGCATTTTTTATGCTTCCCTGTGTTGATAAAGTGGTTTTCTGTGCTAAGTGTCCTCTAGGGCCCAGTGGTTCAGCCTCCCCAATTACCTGAGGAGGACACTCTTGGTGCACCCCCTTGTGGGCTTTGTGCACAGTCTTGTTGTAGTTAAGCCTTGATTATTGTAGGTATCACTGGGAGGAATTGACCTCCAGGCCAATTGGCTGTGAGAATCAGCTGTGTCTGCAGTGGGAGAACTTCTGTACTGGAGACACTCCTCTGGGGCAAGACTCCCTCTGGATTGAAAACGACAACCACGCCCTCAGCAGCCAGCCCTCTCCACATGCACTTCTGCACCTTAGTATTTTACTTCCGCACTGCGCCCCCTCTGAGTCTCGGTTTGCTTTTCTCTTTCCTTCTAGTTGTGGAATTTCCACTCAGCCAGCCTTCCTGTGGTTCTGGATGATGTCTGTCCCATCTTTTAGTTGTATTTTTGAAGTGGTTGTTCGAGGCAGCAAACTCCAGTGTTTAACTATGCCGCCATCTTGGTTTCTCCCCCATAAAATTATTTTCGTTGCTACTTCATAACTGTAATTTTGCTACTATTATGAATCTTCATGTAAATATCTGACATGCGGGATGTATTTTCATTGTTACAAATTGAACATAATTAAAGCATAGTGATTAATCACAAAAACAATATAAAATTATATATGTTTTTTCCGATGGTCTTAGGCGACCCCTGTGAAAGGGTTGTTCGACCCCCAAAGGGGTCGCGACTCAAAGGTTGAGAACTGCTGATCTAAGGGAAAAGAGGTCAGTGGCCCTGATTAAATAGTCAGGTACTGCATGTTTTAAAAGTTCTTGTGGCACATGGGTTGAAAATCGCTGATCTAGACTCGCCTGCACGTGCACTAAGACACCTCAAGGATGCTCACTCGGCAGTGCTGGTGGCAGCGGGGAAATTGGAGACAAGTCAGATGCCCCTCGGGGGGTACTACATGGATGAAGGATGATACATCCATCTAACGGGGTACTTTATAGAAGCTGGAATAAAGGTGCTGGACTTATGTATATTGACACACTTTAATCTCAGAAATAAAGTTTAGTGCAAAAAAACAAGTTGCAAGAAGATATGTATGGTATAAAGTCATTTCTGTAACTCATAAAAACAAAAATCAATACAATGATGTATGAATGGGTGAGAAAGAATGGGTGGCAGGAAGGACCAACACCAAATTCTATCCAGGATAAGGTATACTTCTTCTTCTTCTTCTTCTTTTTTTGGTTAATCATCACCTGAGGATATTTTTTTTTTCCAATTGTTTTTTTTAGAGAGAGTGGGAGAGGAGAGGAGAAAGAGAGAGAGAAACATCAATGTAAGAGAGACACATCAGATAGTTGCCTCCCACACACCCCCCGACTAGGGCCAGGTATCGAACCTGCAACCCAGGTATGTTCCTTTGACTTGAATCAAACCCGAACATTCTAAGCACCGAGCCATGCTGGCCAGGGCAAGGTTACAGTATACTTTTGCTTATTTATTTATTTATTTATTTACTTATTTATTTTGCTTGTTTATTTATTTCGTTTATAAATTCTGACCAGAGGATATTTTCCCCCCCATTGCTTTTCAGTGAGATTGGAAGGGAGGGGGGAGAGAGAGAGAGAGAAACATCAATGTGAGGGACACATCCACTGGTTGCCTCCTGCACAAGCCCTGACTGGGGGCAGGAGCAAACCTGTCACCCTGCGTGGCTGATGCTCAAACCACTGGGAAACACCTGCCAGAGCCAGTATACTTCTTAAAAGTACAGGATGCAAAGTCTACTTAAATTATATCTGTAATCTTTTATTTCTTAAAAAAAAAAGAAGAAAGAACAAGAAAGAAGGAAACATAGCAAAATAGTAACACCTAAATCAGTGACGGTGAACCTATGACACGCGTGTCAGAGGTGACACATGAACTCATTTTTTTGGTTGATTTTTCTTTGTTAAATGGCATTTAAATATATAAAATAAATATCAAAAATATAAGTCTTTGTTTTACTATGGTTGCAAATATCAAAAAATTTCTATATGTGACACGGCACCAGAGTTAAGTTAGGGTTTTTCAAAATGCTGACACGCCGAGCTCAAAAGATTCGCCATCACTGACCTAAATTGTCGGTACATTGTCATATTTTTCTGTGCACTTTTCTATCTTTATTTAAAAATAAAAAGAATGGTTGGAAGATCTCATTAAAATGCTTAAAGAACAGAAGAAGGAGTGGGGCTGTTTAATCTGAAAAAGGGAGAACACAGAACAAGCTGAGAGATGTTCAGATATGAAAGTGTGGACTAGTCTTTCAGGGCCTTAAACACAGGAAAGGATCTTATCAATTGTGTTTCCAGCACCTTGTACAGCGCCTGACTCAAGCAGTCACTCCTCTTCGCAGCGTCAGGCCAGCGTAGCGTCAGAACCAGGGAAAGCAGGTGGACCGACCGGGAGCTAAGGAAAGGACTCGGAGCAGTTACAGCTGAATGAGTGGGAAATGGCCCTCACAGCAGGCTGCCAGGGCACTGGCTCTAGAATTGTCTACCTCCATCTGGACACCCTGCTGCTTGTGAAAAACTGGTGAGCAGATCTAGGACAAAAATGAGGAGGTAGAGCCCAGCCGAAGTGGCTCAGTGGTTGAGTGTCGACATATGAACCAGGAGGTCACAGTTTAATTCCCGATCAGGGCACATGCCTGGGTTGCTGGCTCCATCCACAGTGTGGGATGTGCAGGAGGCAGCCGACCAATGATTCTCATCATTGATGTCTCTCTCTCTCTCTCCCTCCCTCTCTGAAATCAATAAAAAATTTTTTTTAAAAATATTTTTTAAAAATGAGGAGGTAGATTTACTGGCTTCTTTGCTGCTTGGCAGCCTGTCACTAGGGTTGCAAGCTTCTGCATGAGCAGTTCCTACAACCTGGGATGTTCTTTCCCTCATTCCACAATAAGCAAACAGCTTCCTATCTTCCAAGTAGAGTCTTTCCTCCACTCTTTCATGCTTCCCCATCATACTACATACCTACCCCTAATTTAGCATCTATCACATAGAATTGTAATTATTTGCCTGAACGTCTCCAGTAGACATTAGTGATTTTCATGTTTCCCATATTCACAACACCATGGATCAGGAACACAAAAAATACTGGATGAGTGGGAAGGGGTGAATAGATGGGGTAATGCAGGTAAAGTAAATGGAATGGAAAGGAATTAAATGGATGGATGGATGGATGGATGGATGGATGGGTGGGTGGGTGGTGGGAATGGATGGATGAGGTGAGATTGAATGGATAAGTTGAAAGTATGTGTAGTATCCTTTTATTTGGAGTAACATTTGGTCAGATATCAAAGAATCTTATAGAAGTATTTTATAATTCTTCTAAGTTTAGTTATGTTATAAAATTCCAAAACCCAATCCTACTTTGAAAGTTTTGCTTTTATATGATGTTTGTTAAGCTGCTAAATAATGGTCTCTCAATTAATTCCTTCATCTCCATCACTGTTGCTCCTCCCAAAGAAATAGTTGGTATTCCTGAAATTCTCCATTTGAAAAATTCACAAAGATAAAAATAAATAAAAAGATGAAAAAAACCAGGGACCAGAGAGATCTAAGAATCTATTTATTGGATTAAATGTAGACAAATTAAAAATATAGCATTGCATGTCTCTAACCCAATGTTTCTCAAATGTCAATATGCACATGAATTACCTGGGAATTTTGTTAAATAAAATACAGATTATGGTTTAGTAAGCCTGGGGTGGGCTTGAGAGGCCATATTTCACAGGCTCTCCAGTAACGCTGGTGCTGTTGGGCTGTGGACCACACTTGTACTATCAACTTCTAACCAACTAGAAAATACAGAGTGGGGAAAACTAGGTTTACAGTTGTTCATATGGAAAATAATTCAATAATTACTAAATAATACTACAAGAATAAACTGTGTTTCCATACTCACAACTGTAATGTTGCCTCCTTTTGCCCACCCTGTATGATGGAAAATAATATATATTTTTAATAAAAGTAACTGGAATTCTAAAATATCCAGGAATTCATTTATAGGCATTATCCACAGTGTTTATAAGAAGAAGGAAAAATAAAATCTATTAATAAAGTCATAAAGGAGGACCTGAATTAGGTGAAATGATACGGCATGATCAGGGATGGGAGGACTTCTCAATGTAAAAATGTCAATTCCTCCCAAATGAATCTATAATTCAATGCAGAACACATTTTTTAAATTAAGATATTTAAATGACATTTTGACTTGGTTGTACTCATCCCATTCCCCCAAGCCAGCAGCTGGGCTCCATTCTACCCATGGTCCCCACAGCATCCACGGAAACTCCTTCTCCAGGCCCTTCCTAGGCTCCAAGAGGCCCTAAGAGCCATTGCACCCTCAGCCAGCAAGGGCTGTGAACACAGTGATCTGAGGTGTTGGTTGGGATCACACTCCCAAGATTCCCAAGAATTCTGGTTTTAGACCTTTGTGCAAATTACTTTAACCACTCAGTCCCCTTGTGTAGCAAATGGAGATAGTAATACCACCTCACAGTGGTCATTATGAACATTACAGGAGATAAAGTAACGCATGCCAAAGCGCAGTGTCGGACATAAAACGTGCTCATAAACACAAGCTCTCCTTTCATTTCACCTGGACTGCACGAGCCCCCTAGTAACTGAATTTACTAAAAATCTACGTGGCTCAGCCTTAGATGATTTGGCTCAATGGATAGAGCATCGATTGGCCTGCAGACTGAAGGGTCTCAGGTTTGATTCTGGTCAAGGGCACATGCCCAGGTTGCAGGCTTGATCCTCAGTGTGGGGCGTGCATGGGGCAGCCAATCAATAATTCTCTTTCATCATTGATGTTTCTCTCTCTCTCTCTCTCTCTCTCTCTCTCTCCTTTCCTCTCTGAAGTCAGTAAAAATATATTTTAAAAAATCTACATGGCTCACAGTGGGAGTCTGTAGGACTAGTGCAAGACAGGGCTCCACTGCCACTCCCCCAAACACCATGGGTCCTTCCTTATCCAACTATGGCAAGATCTTCCCATCTGAGTAGCTTTTCCTTCCCCTCGATATTCTTGGGAAAAGCTTCAGGCACTGCTGGGTGAGACCTGGTAATATTTATTAGCAAATGTCTCCCAACATCTTGTTCCAAACTAGTTCACCAAGAAATGAGGGTCCTTCCACATTTTTTGATGCCAGCCTCAGACAAAAGGTCTGTATGCGGCGAGCACAAGTAAAAGGGTTTGTCAATAATAAAATGAGTAAATGATTGAATTATGCAAACTAATTATAATTATTTGGACAAATGAAGGCAAGAGGAGGCCTCCATTTGTTTATGTAATACCCCACAAAGAGAAGAAAGAAAAAAAAGAAATGCCTATTATCTATTCAACTGTCTACTTCGCAATGTTTACATTAGAAAATACTCAAAACACTTCTGGCTTCCTAAGTTCCCACCTATAGGGAATGAGTAAGCAAACTGTAGCATTACCAGCAGATGAGATATTACTTAACCGCCACAAATAAAGTTTATGGAAGGTTCTGAAGGACATTGGAGAGCGCATGTAATGACACATTAATCTCAGAACACACAATATGTGTCCAGGATAACTTTATCTACGTCAAAAAAAATCTTAGAGAAAGGCTCTGATAAACCAAAATATGACCATGCTTGTTCCTAGTGGTGGAATTAAAGGTCATTTTCCCTGTTTACTTGGTACTTTTTAATTCACTGAATTTTCTAAAAAACACATATATAACTTCTACAGTTAGAAAGTTTTTTTTTTGTAAGCCACGACATAGACAAAAAATAAATAAAGAAAAAAAAATCCACAATAAAAAGTGAGGTGTGCAGGGAGCAGTTTGCTTTGGCACCGGCAGAGCGGCCAGTAGGTAGAAGGCAAAGATACTGGGGCACACACACACCACAGCAGCAGCACCCGTCCGTCACTCTCCCTGCCACAGTCCTCACTCAGCTCGTCCACAACAGTCATCTCTACTCACCATGTAAAGACTTTAAGGGTCTTCCTATTTTGATGGCCTTTACCGGATCATACGCCTGGCTCCACTCAATTTTGGCTGGACTGCCTTGTTCGGATGGTCTCTTCTCATTTGAAAACAAATGTTTCACTTCGTCTGGAACGCAGGATGAAAAAGAATCATTGATTCAATCAACCAGAAGTACTTACTGGATGCCTACTATGTGACAATGACTCTGTGGGTGTTGGAGATGGAGCAACGGGGAAGATAGGTCAGACTCCGGGCCTCCTGGAGTTGTTGCTTAGGGGGCTGCTTCAAAATACCAGGAGACTCAAACCTCAACAGGCACTGACTTCTTCTAGATAAGACCTCTAAGTGCTGGATATATATTATTCCATGTAATCATCACAGTTCACTTGAAAGAAAGCATTCCCACTCCCCCATTTCACAGATGACACTCAGGTAACTGTCCCGGGGCCGAGAACTGGCCTTAGCAAAGTCAGGACTACACCCCGAGCATTTGTCCCCAGCGTGGAGATGACCCTTCATGCATGTCGGTCACTTCTGTCAAAGTGGGGCTTGGCTTACACATGGCAGCAACCAGCATGTGTGGAATGATGAGTGCGCAGAGGAAGTGGATGAATGAGTGGAGATGATGGAAGCTCCAAGAAAGATGTGGGGACAAAGAAGTGAAATTGGGTCATGCTGAAGGATGGATAAAAATTTTGGAGAAAGAAATGAGGCTAAAGGCCCCCTCCCTATACCAAATGCCTGAAGGCTGGCTCTGCCATGAGGAAAAGCCTCGTGTCTTCAGGGCCCAGGGGATGGGCCAGGTGTGGTGTGGGAGAGGCAATGAGAAAGGAGCCTTGGGGAACAAATGATAAGGTGCCTTCAAGGCTGGACTCAGAAATCAGACTTGTTCTCCCCTAAGTCACTGGCAAACCATAAAAAAATTGCAGAGTAATAAAGTGCCAGGGTAAAGGGTGATGTAGAAAGGTCATGGAACAATGACAGAAGAGAGGAGGCAGGAATAGAGCTGGGTGTGCAGAGAAGAGCCAGCCGAGGGAGAGAGCTCAGAGAATAACACACAGGCAGGGACATCAATGAGGTGTCGGTGGGTGGGTGGCCAAGAGCTGAGGACATAGCAGAAGTCAACTGTGACTTGGGGAGCTTCAAGAATGAGGTAATTTTTATCCAATACCGAGACACCAAGAGATGGAGCAGATTTTATAGAAGAGAAATGCTAACTCTTGGCTGGTATGCTCCAATTCAACACCAGCAGACTGAAAGCTAACAAATTTTGGCATGTGACCTACAGTGTATTCAAATAAATTTCATATCTCCTGGATAACAAACCTCATATGGTAGTTCTGTACTACCATACATACTTTGCAGAAGAAAGTTTTTAAGTGATAAAAGGCAGGCTTAAGACAACATGTGTAGTAGAGTCATTTTTGTTAACGTGTTGTACCCACATAGACAGTGACGGGGAAATGTTAGCCATGGCTCTCTGTGGTCAGGCATCAGATGATCTTCAATTTCTTCTTCTTTGAGCTAGTCTATTTCTAAATTTTTTTCAAAGCAAACATACACTGATTTTTGTAATAGAAAAAAATCGCTAAACAGATGCAGATGATGCTAAGCTTGGATAAGGTTCAAAGAAAGGCAGGTGGTCTTTTTTTTTTTTTTTATTAGTTAAGGTATTACAAATGTGTCCTCATCCCCCCCATTAACCCCCAACCTCCCCCACACACACACTCATGCTCCCATCCCCCTGTTGTCCATGTCCATTGGTATGGCTTATATACATGTATACAAGTCCTTCGGTTGATCTCTTCCCCTTACCCCCGCCCTCCCCTACTTTCCTTCTGGGGATTGATAGCCTGATTGCTGTTTCTCAGTCTTTGAGTCTGTCCCTTTTCATCAGTCTATGTTGTTCTCTATAATCCACAAATGAGTGAGATCATGTGGTATTTATCTTTCTCTGACTGGGAAAGGCAGGTGGTCTTATTTCAAGAAGGTGAAGCAAAGGGCCTGTGGCCCCTCCCAGCAGGGCCTACAACACCCTTCCTCCTTCGTTTTCTGGCCAGCTGACTCCATTTACCCTTCCAACCTTGGCTCCCATGGCCCCTTCTGCAGGAAGCCATCTTCATACACACGCCCCAGCACCTCTGCTCCAATGTGAGCCCCCTGCGGGGCAGATGTTTACCAGAAATTCTGCTCAGCAGCTCTGGGACAGGCCTGGAACCTGCCTTCAGGCAGCACTCCCAGTGCATCTAATGCAAGTGGTTTAGAGCCCACACTTTGAGGTCCTGGGTCTTTCTTTGGTACAAGTGAGAAAGTCCGCTTGAATCCGATGTTCTCACACAGGAACCCTACAATTAGTAGTTTACATACGAACCAGTGGTTATCAGCAAGGGGTAGTTTTGTCCCCCACTCCCATCAGCGGACAACGTCCAAAGAAATTCTTGATTGTCACAACTGGGAGGCTACTTTTGGGAGCCAGAGATGCTGCCAGACATGCTCCAATGCACAGGACAGTCCCATAACAAGGAAGGATCAGACCCAAATGCCAGTGGTGCCAGGGGTAAAAAAAAAACCCTGGATGCAAATGAAATATTAAAAGCTGGAAGCCCTGTCATAGCTGGTTTGGCTCAGTGGGTAGAGTGTCAGCCTGTGGACTGAAGGGTCCCAGGTTTGATTTGGGTCAAGGTCACATGCCTGTGTTATGGGTTCGGTCCCCAGTAGGAGGCATGCAGGAGGCAGCCAATCAATGATTCTCTCTCATCATTGATGTTTCTATCTCTTTCTTCCTCTCCTTTCCTCTCTGAAATCAATCTATCATAATAAAAGGGTAATGTGCTAATTAGACTTTCATCCTCTCCTTTCCTCTCTGAAATCGATCTATCATAATAAAAGGGTAATATGCTAATTAGACTGGATGTCCTTCTGGAAGACCTTCCAGACAAAGCCCAGGCTGCAAGGGAAGCCAGGGTCCTGGTTGCCAGAGGGAAGCTGGTGCCAGCAGCTGACGGAAGGAAGGCCTACTCTTGTATGAATTTCATGCATTGGGCCTCTAGTATATCCTATATAATAAAAGGCTAATATGCAAATTGTCCCCTCGACTGGGAGTTTGACTGGGAGTTCAACCTGGAGTTTGACTAGGGGTGGGGGCGGCTGGCCAACTGCCCATGGCCCCTTCCCCCTGCCAGCCAGACCCCAGCGGCCTGGGCTGGCTGGACTCCATTTGTGCACGAATTCGTGTACCAGGCCTCTAGAGAGAGAGAGAGAGAGAGAGAGAGAGAGAGAGAGAGAGAGAGAGAGAGAGAGTGTGTGTGTATATATATATATATATATCTGGAAGCCCTAAGCGCCTATCGTCAGAAAGGCTCCTTGAGAAGAATCAGGCTTTAAACCCAGAGAAAGGGCAGATTTTCAAGTTACAAGTAACTGATTGTGGCGCTGCCATTTGCTCCCAGCAAGTGACAGTCTCGCTGTGCTTACTGTCAAATCAGAAAACTTGTACTTCCCTGCAAGCCACCAGCAGAAGCAACAGTACCACACTCCAAGTGCTCTCAGAGGCACATGGCTTTTACCTTTTAACAACTCCAAAATGAGGATGACTCTGTATAAATGATGTCATGGCATCGTTTAATTGGCAGCGTTTTACTATAGTTTTCATTCATTTAATTTTTAATTTTTGTATTTTTTTTATTGATTTCAGAGAGGAAGGGAGAGGGAGAGAGAGATAGAAACATCCGTGATGAGAGAGAATCATTGATTGGCTGCCTCCTGCACGCCCCACCCTGGGGACCAAGCCTGCAACCTGGGCATGTGCCCTGACTAGGAATTGAACCGTGACCTCCTGGTTCATAGGTTGACACTCAACCACTGAGCCACCCTGGCTGGGCTGTTATTGTTTTTAAAAGTTCTAGAGACAACGCACACCCCCCTTTTGCTTGTGTCTGGAGGGGGGTGGGGGACCACACCCACTGCCCTGCTCTGGGCATCTGATTAGCGGAAGTAGGTACCCAAGGCCACCAGCTAGTACAAGACAGAGACAGGATGGAATCCAGCTGTCTGCCTTCAAAGCCTGGGTTGTTCTACTCCTTCCAGCACTCTCCTTCGAGGGGAATTCAAAGGAGACTTGGAATCCTTTGACACACATAGGAGCTTCACCATGTGAAAACGCTAACATGGTGTCTCAGGGTGGTGGGAATTTTAAAAAGTTTTCTCTTGTTTCTTGATATCCTCTAATTTTTTTTTCCCCAGCGAACACACAATACTCATCCAGGGAGCGAGGCTTGGTGTGGGTGACTATGTGAGCACCGCCCAGGGACAGGAAGTCCCTCAAGGTGGCAGAGGGGGAGCTGGTGGCTAATGTGCTTGCACACAGAGAGCAGGAGGCTCTTCCACAGCTGAGGATACTGGAGGGATGACAGACGACTGACACAGAAACAGCAGGAGCCCAGGTAAAGGAGGTCGAGGGGATGCCGGCTTCTCTCCTGTTACTGGTGAGAAGCCACACCCCCTAGAAACATTTACAATAAAACATGGATCCCTGACTCACCAAAAGATCCTCCGTCTTCTGAGTAGGCAGAAGACTTTATTCGATAAAACCTGATTTTTTTGGAAACCCGGTCCGTAGTGTCCCAGAGCCTAAAGGTGATTTTGTGAAAATTGATTTTCTTTAGTAATTCCTTTGTCACGTTGATGTTAAACCTTTGGGTCCATGACACCCAGACTTTGTTTCCTTCCTGACGTGGCTTCATGGTCTATGAGGAAAAATACCAAAAGGCTTTTAGTGTGAGGCTCAGCAGCCCGGAGGACCCGCCTCTGCCAGCCTCCCCCCACTGACAGGGAGGCCGGGCCTGCTCTCCACCTGTCTGGCCTCTGTGACTGGCTCTCTCCCAGGTTCCAAATCACACTGGGAAATGGGTGTCATGGGCTGGGCCCTGTCACACTCTGGGTTCCTTGGGAAAAAAATTAAGTTAAAGAAATTACCTACAAAAGAGTGTCCTTTCCAGTGACTACAATCCCAGCTGGGCCGCAGGCAGGAGTGTGTGTGTGTGTATGTGTGTGTGTGTGTGCAGGCAGGCAGGTGTGCACACATTTCATCACATGCACACAGAGAGAGAAATTGCAGGAGCTACAAAAACCTTTGAAACACCAAAGAAAGTACAAGGTAAAAATATCTAAAGAAAAAACCATCAAAATACCATAATGGGTATTATGAAGTCAATGCAGATTCTCATTCGGTAGGTCTGGGGTGGGGCCCAAGATCCTGCATTTTTAGCAACTTCCAGGGGAAACAAGTACATTTTGTGTAGTGAGCATTAGGTTGTATGCTATATGGGAGGCTACATACACACACACACACACACACATACACATGCACGCACACACGCACACCTTTACTCCCGTATCCATGAACAATTTGACCACCGATGGAAACACCACCATGTCAATGATTTTAGGCTCTTTATCTTCTGGCAGAAGAAAATACTCAATATGGTAGATACGATGACCCTTTGCAACAGATTTTTCCATTTTGGAGCGTTTCCTGTATTTTTCGAGCAAACTTACAAATTTTCTCTTCGGACCTAGAAGATACAGATTTAATGAGTCTTGCTTCACCCTCGTAGTTCCCGCACCGCACCTGCCTCACCCTAGTCTCAGCAGTAAAGTTAAAACACAAATCACAGCACGATATGACTTGTGTAACCCCGGCAGTCTAAGTCAGGTCCTGAAGAACAGCAGAGAAGGCTGGGGTGAACTCTGTCGGGGTGGGGGTGTGGAGGAAGCCCCTGAGGGGGGACCTCAGCAGAGTCCGGTAGAAGGGAAGCTGGCAGGCATTGCAGGCAGAGGGCAGAGCCCCGCAAAACCTCATGCGTGCAGCTGCACAGCGTGGGGCGGATGGGGAAAGGATGGGCTTCACCAGAGATCAGGGCCTCCACTGCTTGCCCTTGCCCTCCAGGCTGGCCTTTACACACCAGGAGAAGTTGCTTTAGAAGCTCCATAAATATTTAATCCAAATTTCATCCTATAAAAACGTGATGACTATATTTAAAACTGAAGTTTTAAAATCTCAAGTTCTTTTTGTGTGTGTGTGTGTGTGTGTGTGTGTGTGTGTGTGTGTGTGTGTGTTTTAACACTCAGGAGAACCCAGGAGACTGCTTCTGAATTAATTGTGTGCCACCAGCAGAGTTAGCTTTTGTGCAGAGTTTGGAATAAAGGTTGGTAGGCATTAGACTTGCTTGGGAAGGTGCAACTGATCAGAAAGCTTGCTGCATTTCCCAGGTCCATGTTCTGATTCAATCCAAGGATATACGGACCCTCCCATCAATAGGAAGAAAACATTGCTACAACCCCATTCGGTGAGAAATTGGACAGTATCTATAAAAAATATAAATGCATACAGTAAGTCCTCAATATCATTGATAGGTTCTGGACTATAAATAAAACCACATATAGTGAAACCAATTTTACCATAGGCTAAGTGATAAAAACAAGAGTTAAGGTTTTATGGCACCTCATCAATGTTGTAATGAAATGACATTGAATGAAACAGCATTATTCAAGGACCCACTGTACCTTAAGCCCAACAATTCCACTTCTTGAAATTCAGGCCACAGAAGTGCCCACATACCTGAACAAAAGGGTGCACACAAGGGGGGCTACTGCAGGATTATAACAGAAAACATTTGCAAACAAATGTTCACCAATAAAGGGTAGGATAACTTAGAAACATACTATTAGGTGTTTCAAACAAAATATCAGCAAAGTCAAAACAAGTACGCTCATTTCCTAAGACATCTAAGACACTGTCAATTTTTTAAAGCAAATTTTAGAAAAGTATTGTAGCATCTTATTTCTCTTAAAAATAATTTGTATAAACATTACAAACAAATTCATAAATACTCAGATATTGAAGGAAAAAACATCAAAACTAGAATTTTATACTCAGCTAAGGACAAAGACATGTCCTTTAAGGAGGACATGTCTTTGGGTGAATATAAGACTCTACAAAGCAAAATAAATGGACAAACAAGCCAGAAATAAATTCCTAGATACAGAGAACAAATTGATGGGCACCAGATGGGAGGGGATTGAGTGAAAATATAAAAGGAATTAAGTACAAATTGCCAGTTATGAAAGTAGTCATGGGGATGTAAAGCATAGGAAATAGTCAATAACTCTGTAAATAATGATGCATGGTATCAGATGGGTGCTGGACTTATCATGGTGATCACTTTGTAAGGTATATAAATGTCTAATCATTACATGCTACACTGGAATCTAATGTGCTATTGCATATCAGGAGTAATTGGAAAAATAAATTAATATAAAAGACACTCAGACATGCAAGGCCTCATCAACTTTTGCTGCATCGAGATCTACTTTGTAAATGTCTTTTGAAGAAGCACCCAAATAAGAAAAAACAAGTCTAGGAGATGCTGTAGGAGACGTAAGGTTGAAGGCGATCAAATTAACACCAATTTTCTTTTAGTTGGTATTTGCCACCAGTCTTTTCCGGGCTCTGATATCAATAGACCCAAGATAAAAGCATCATAATGGATAGAGGAGGTCACCACATTAGAACAGAAAGTTCAATTCACCAAGAAGATTGATCTGTTCTAAACAGGGGAGACACCTAAGCAAATAGTCTCCAAAATATCTGAAACCCACAGCTGACAACTACAAAGAAAAGTGTAAATTAATCATCATGGTGTGTGTGTCGGGGGGGGGGGGGGGGGGAGTATAGTTTATGTAGACAAAAAGGGTATATAAAAGTGGAGTACTTTTTTTCTGCCCCTCATCTTGGAATTCAACCAGATGACTTGCTTCGGCCAATAAAATGTTAGCAGGTGGGAGGTGTCAGAAGACCGAGCGCGTGGTTACTGGGCTGGCCCCCTGCTTTTCCATAATGTGAATGTGTCTGGATCAGCCCATGTGCCCAGAAGGAGGGTGACAGACACATGAAGCACAGCTGAACCACTGCAGGGAGCTCAGGCTGGAGCAGCTACCCTGTGATCCAGACGAACAAGGGGTTCCCGGTTGAAGCCAATGGATCGGGGAGCTTGTTTGGGTTTGTCACACAGCCTTGTGGCAGTAATAGTCCATCAATTTACCTTTACACTCGGAAATCCTTACACCTGAGAATCTGCATTTTAAATAAGGAAACCAGGTGATGCTCCATTAGTTTAGGGGACCCAAGGCCTTAACCTCTCTGCCATTTCTTCGTCTGCAAAAAGCAGATCTAACACCATCTACTTCTTAGGGTTATGGAGTGGATTAAGTATGTGAAGGCCGCACAACCACTGTGGGCCTCCTGAAATTGCACCTTCTTTCCTGATCTTGGCTCCTGGAATCTACTACCCTACTTGGGAGAGCCGGGGAGGGAGCATGAGTGTCCTAACCTCCTGGCAGAAGGCCATTAGTCCACCCCCTTTTTATTTTATTTTATTGATTGATTATGGTATTACATACGTGTCCTTATCCTCCCATTGACCCCCCTCCCCTCACTCATGCCCTCACCTCCGGGTTGACTATGTCCATTGGTTAGGTTTATATGCATGCCTACAAGTCCTTTGGTTGATCTGTCCCCTTACCCCCACCCTCCCCTACCTTCCCTCTGAGGTTTGACGGTCTGATGGATGCTTCTCTCTGTCCACCCCCTTTTGATAGAGTGTTGGGGTTCGGCTCCGGCACTTACTCACAGTCTCGGGGAAGGCCAGTGAGATGATGAATTTGCAGGGGACCACCTGGGGCACGTCAGCGTTTAAAGTGCTGGAGGACGCGGTGCTGCTGTACAGATGGTCAGACTCTGACTCGAGGGCCCGGGACCTGGCATTCATGTAGTCCTCCACATCACACTCGCTCATGGATTGGCAAAAGCTGCCCAAGGAGGACATGGGCCCCATGCTCTCCATGTCCTCATCCTCCCAGTCCCAGGCTTGCAGCGACATGCTTGCGGCTGAGAGCTGCCCACCTTGCCCCACCAGCTGGAAGGAAATGAAGGCACGTTTGTCGCCGCCCTCTGCTCCCAGGAGGTTAGCCATTCTCCCTCCTCCCTTCCCTTGTCTTGTGCAGAGTGGAATGGCCAAGGCCTCAGACTGCCGGGCATACAGTAGGCACTCAATAAAGTTAGACAATGAATGGCTGAACCACAGAGAATGGTCCTGGCAGTAATTCGGATCATAAGCAGCACCCGTTTCTCCGATTTGAGTCTCTGCCCTCCCCCAGCCCCAGCTGCATTAATTGGGCACTTCTGGAATGCCTACACCAGGGAAATGCATTCACCAGGAACGAAAGGGGTGGGAGCAGAATCCCCCCCCCGCGCTTTCACCCAGAGGGGCCTGTGGTGAGTAGCAAACGTGGCCCAAGGACAGCATGTGCAAGTGCCTGGCAGGTAAAGACAGGAGAGAACCCCGAGGCAAGACACAAATGGGCTTTGAGTGCTGGGCTCAAGACACAAGGAAGCCGAATCGGCTCAAGTTGAGGAAAGGATGCAGCGTGGGACAGGGGATGGGGGCGGGTCCCCTCAAGGCACCCAGAGTACCTTCCAGCGGATGCACAGAGAGCAGCTCTGGCTCGCGCCCTGGTGTCAGTCCGCACGCACAGCCACTGCGCAGCAGCGGGCAGAGAGAGGAGGCCCGCGAGACAGGCGGGCCCACTGTGTTTGACAGTTGCTAGGAGACGAGTGGACAAAGGGGGGGCGGGGCTTCCTGCCTCAGCCACTGGTCTCAGACTCCTGGTACGGACAAGGTCTGGCAAAAAGGTGTATCCAAATTCGGAGACCAGTTGGTTGAATCATTCATCCGCTTATTCATTCAATCCTTAAAAAATTCCTACGCTGAACGGGAGTACCTAAAATGCGCCTGGCCCTTACTTACAGGATGGGGTAAAGGCAAAGGAACCAACGGGCTTGGCAAACTCAGGTCCCCCATCCCATCCCAAACCTCTCACATAGACTTTGCATTCTGTCGCTGATGCCTTTAAAAGTGCATGGAAATTCTGTTAGTGAGTGTGAGTCCAACCCAGAGATGAGGAAACTGAGGCTTAGAGAGGGGCAGCCATCTGCCTGAAGTCACACAGGGAGTGTGTGGCAGCACTGGATTGAAATTCAGACTATCTGACTCCAAAGCCTGGGCTCAGCTGTAAAATCCCCTTCCCCATCCCCACTGCCACTTTGATCACCCCCTAGGCCCTGCTCCTGAGAGACCCTGGCAGCTGCTCCCCATGTAGAAGGCCAGAGAACACCCAAGGGGTGGGCAGAGGGACACATGGCAAAAATGACACTATGTGACTTCAAAGGCCAGGTAAGACAACTACCATGTACAGTTAAGTCCTCACCTGACATCATTAATAGGTTCTGTGACTTTAAGCGGAAGGAAATACAACAAAAACAATTTTATCATGGGCTAATTGATTGAAACAGCAGTTAAGTTCTATGGCATCTCATCGACATTATAAGGAAATGGCGTTGAGCAAAACGACATTATTTGAAGACCTGCTCTAATTTTGCCTTGTTCCCTTGGGGCCACTCATCCTAGAAAATCCAGCCACCAGATCATGAGGGAGCACAGACAGCCACATGGAAAAGACATACATAAATCTTCTGGGCAACAATCCCAGCTGACTTCCAGCCTCAACTACCAGACACAGCGAGAGTGCCAGACTTCAAATGACCCCGGCTCCAGTCTTTGAGCCACCCCAGCTGACACTGTGTGTGGCAGAAACCAGCTGCCTCAACCAAGCCCTCCCCAAATTGCAGAATTATGAGCCAAGTGCATTATTGTTGTTTTAAGTTTGGGGATGATTTGTTGCACAAGAATAAATAACTGGAACAGAACTCATGTTTTAAAGTTATCGCCAAGATTTTATTGCACAGCTAAGATTTGGAACCGCTGCCCAGAGAGAGGTGGTGTCCAGGTCAAGACCCAGAGCATCATGGGAGGAAATGAGGGCAGGGGTAAGAAATGGGCCCATAACATCATCTTAGCAAAGATGGCCCTGTTAATGGGCCATCTGGATGGTTTCTTACTGGTGTTGCCTGGGCTCACTCACTGGGCTGTACGCATCTGGAGGGTCAGCAGGGCTGGAAGGCCCAAAATGGCATCATGCAAATATTTTGCAGTTGGTGCCATTGGCTGGGGCACCGCATTTACCCTGCACACGGCCCCTGACCCTCCCCCAGGCCGACCTGTCTTCCTCACGTGGCATTCTCAGGGCAGGGCTCCATGACAGCAAAGGCAGAAGCTGCCTTGTAAGTGGCACAGCGTATGTCACCAAGACTGCCCAGGGAGGGGGAGAGCGGCTGTGTGGAGGAGGGCAAGATGGCGCCAGCGCCTCTCCTCTTGCCCACACTTCCCTCTGGGGAGGGATGCCTGGTCCTCTCCCTTTGTTCCATGTCCCTGCATCCCATGCTTGTCCAGCAGTGGGGGAGCAGCTATTCCGTGAACCTGATCACAGTAGGAGCACCATTGGTGGCAGCACCAACTTTTATTATGATGTTGTAAAGTCCTGTTGCTTTTCCGAGGGCAGCAATTCTTAAAGGCAACAACAAGCATTTGATAAACACCTACTATGTGCTTGGCAAGTTTGGGAGCATGAGGAAAATAGCAATAAACAAGACGGGCGCCTCCCTCTCCTGGAGGCTCTGTTCAACTGGGTGATGACAAGTGGGAGGAAAACGATGAAGTAGGGAATGGGCAGAGGGAAGTGCAGGGAGATGTTGCAAAGGCCCCACTGAGCAGAGACCTGAAGAAGTGAGGGACTAAGCAATGCAGAGGTGGGAGGAAGGAGGAACAGCTGTACAGAGCCCTGAGGCACACTGGAGGGGCGGTGAGAAGCAGGCCACTCTGGCTGGAGCAGAGCAAGGGGAGGTGGGTGCACGGGAGGTGTGAGAGGACACGGCACATCAGGTGAGACCTTTGGCATTTCCTCTGGTTGAGATGGAAGCCAGGGGAGCGTGCTGAGCAGAAGGATGCGTAGGTTGCAGGAGGAGACAGACTCACTGATAGCACCCACACTCTGAGGCTGACGCTGACTGTGGGGAGCAGCGTTCACAGGCTGGCACTCTCCTTTGTCGCAGGTGTGATGACCAGGTGGCCAAGTTCAGAGCTTTCTGCAGCCACTCTGGCAGTGCAGCCACACCCATGCCCTGGGGGAGCTGGCAGCTTGCCTCTCCACTCCAGCAGGAGCAGTTGGGAATCCAGGCCTGGAGCTAGAAGACACCAGCGCCACGTGGGGAGGAGGTCAGCTGAGCTCCAAAGGCTGAGGCTGGACACATTCTAGAGCAGTGGTTCTCAACCTTCCTAATGCCACGACCCCTTAGTACAGTTCCTCATGTTGTGGTGACCCCCAATTTCATTGTTACAAACTGAGCATAATTAAAGCATAGTGATTAATCACAAAAACAGTATGTAATTATGTATGTGTTTTCCGATGGTCTTAGGCAACCCCTGTGAAAGGGGTCGAGACCCACAGGTTGAGAACAGCTGTTCTAGAGTCTCTCGGAATTAATCCTGCCCCGTTTGTAATTGATGTGTGTTTTGTTGGAAGAGACTTTAAAAGCACGAATATAGCCTCTATCTCATTAAATTTTTCATTCATTCATTCACTCATTCATGTATGCCATCATGGACTGTGATTCTTGTTTTATTCATTTTGTTATAATTCACTTTTTAAATTATTTATGTTGATGTTCAATTGTCTTTGATTTGGCTACTGGTAGCCTATGCAAGCTGGCTTCTGTGGCAGGTGTATTTATAAAAGACACACACAGGTAAGTGACAGAAGAGAAGAAGCCACAGGAAGACAGTCATGGGCGTTCTACAGCCAGAAGCAAAGGAATGCCTATAGCCCCTGAACTGGGAGAAAGAGGCAAGAAAGGATTCTACCCTGGAGCCTTCAGACACCTTGCAGACTGCCCTGCAGACACCTTGATTTCAGACTTCAGCCTTTCAGATACGACAGAATAGATTTCTGTTGTTTGAAGTGACCATATTTGTGGTAATTGGTTACTGTGTCCTTAGGAACCTCACACCTCCACTGCTACCCCACCTCCTGTGCCAGTGCCCCTCTTTCTCTGCCCCAGGCCTGAACCCCCATTGTGGGCCTCTCCCACCTTCCCAATGTATGCCCTCCTCACCCCACCCCACACACCCTTTGTGTGAATGTCCTTCTCATACTGTTGCCAGATAAAATGCAGGATGTCCCATTGAATTTGAATTTCAGAAAAACTATAAATAACTCCATGCAAGATTTGAGATATATGTGTATTAAAAATTATTATTTACATGAAATTCAAATGTACCTGGGTGTCTTGTATTTTGTTTTGTTTGCTGGCTTTCTTGGTGGGGAGGGCTAAATCTGGCAATTCTGGCTCCTCACTGCAGGACCTTCACCACACACACCAGGCCACATCTGCATGCGAGGGCCTCTATTTTCCACTGGGGCTCTGACACTGACAACCGGCTACCTTTCTGAGGGCACCCTTTTCTCTCTTCTCAGACTCTGGTACCCCACAGTGGGCCATCATGGCTGCCCACTCCACTCCCTACTACCATAGACACATGCCTTGCTTTGCCCCACCTAATGGATTTAGGACTAAATTGTTTAGGAAGAGAAAGGGAAGAAAAAATGGAAACAAAAAGAAACAGAAACAAGTCAAATTATATTTTGAAGTGTGGTTTATATTTTCTCTACAATAGAATGTTTTTTTTTTTAGGTGAAGAAATGGCCTGTACTTGTCAGAGTTGTCTAATAGAAACACAAAACCAATAGAATATAAATAGATATGGATATATAAACACAGGTATGAGATTTATTATGGAAATTGGCTCATGTGGAGTGGAGGCTGAGAAGTCTTACCATGAGCCCTCCAAATGGTAGAGAACCAGGAAAATGGGCAACATAATTAAGTCTGAGTCCAGAGGCCTTTGAATTGGGGTTGAATGGGGCT